AAGTTATAGGCAAAAGTATGTCAAATATGGCGGCCATCTTGGAATCCAATATGGCCGACATCGAAAGTTCAAACTAATGAATTTACTGGATTCCTTGACCCCGAAAATGTGGGGGTAGACACTGAAATTACATTTCTATCTGCCTTAGTTTCAAAGTTATAGGCAAAAGTATGTCAAATATGGCGGCCATCTTGGAATCCAATATGACCGACATCGAAAGTTCAAACTAATGAATTTACTGGATTCCTCGACCCCGAGAATGTGGGGTAGACACTGAAATCACATTTCTATGTGCCTTAGTTTCGAAGTTATAGGCAAAAGTATGTCAAATATGGCGTTTCAGAGTTGGGTCCTAATCAATATAAATCAAACCAAATTATGGAATAGATGCCAATTGATATGTATAATAATTGATTTTTGTAATATGTTGTTGTTAATTTAATGTCATTGTATATGTTTTTAAATTTCCATGTAGTTCCCCCCATTTTGTTTTGTTACTATGATTTTGACTAGTTGTTTCATGTACATTGTATCGAGCCATCGTTATCAATTGCAATCTCGGTCGGACTAAACGTCCGCTACTTATTGCTTAATAGGTATCTAAAACGGTATAAAAATATCCGTGTATCAAAAATGAACAGTACTCTTCCTGTACATTTCTGATACACGGATACTTTCATGCATGTATTGCAAATAAACAGGACAGTTTTATCAAAAGTTGCCAGTGGCAACGAGTAGAAGTGGGATGTAAGTAGTAGTTATTAGCTAATAAGTTACTTACATCACATTTCTATCGAGTATTGTGAAGCAAAATGTGAAAAATAGTATTTATTATCGAGTCGTTTCAACCGAAAAGTGACAAATACTTTCATTTATCCCTTTCTGAGTCTCACGTTACATTTCATGGTAGAATAATTTCGCAGTGGAGAGACGACCTGAGTAGTATTTACACGTGCGTCTTGCTATGACACTCTGAGCGTAAAACAATCACGTGTTTGTTTAGACCACATCGTCAAAACAACTTGTATATGGCGTAGAGGACTGCGATATTATTAAATGTAGTGTAAAGGAAATGTGAAACGTGGGTCATTCCTGGTGAAAGTATGCATCGGCAGATGGTTCTTCCGTTGAAATTTATTTGTAATAAAGTTTATGACTTTCTAGGCGTTTTTTTTATCCTGCTTAATTTCAATGCCTGTGAAGTGTCCAGCAAGAGAACTGCGCCTTCTATCATCACAATTAATTAAAATAATTATTCAATATTCTAATTTATATATTTTGCATATTAATATAAATCAAACCAAATTATGAAATAGATGCCAATTGATATGTATAATAATTGATTTTTGTAATATGTTGTTATGTTAATTTAATGTCATTGTATATGTTTTTGAACTGTCATGTAGTTCCTCCCGGTTTGTTTTGTTACTATGATTTTGACTAGTTGTTTCATGTACATTATCTTTGCGCATTGTATAGAGCCATCGTTATCAATTGCGATCTGGATCGGACTAAACGTCCGCTACTTATTCAACATAGGTATCTAAAACAGTATAAATAACAAAAATCCAATAAACGAGCTATATTTGGGCCTTATTTTAACAAATATGATAAGACTTACCATTAAAATCATCATTCATTAACAATTAAACTTTTGCTAAGTTAGATATTTGTGTGATTTGGCCATTTGAATGGGACTTTCTAATTATATGGAAAAGTTGATCGCCCAAGTAGCGTTACAGCGGTAGATTTTTTCATTAAAAAGAGTTATGTTTCTTGGTCACATCAAAGTTTTAAATTTTGCTCTGGAAAACGAATTCTTAATTTCCGCAGTCGGCTTTCTTCGTTTTTTTACGTACGTACAATTAACGATTGAATTTAACATTTGTACGCGTATGTAGCCCTTAGTTAGAGGGAGAGAGAGATTTTGTCTGTATTTTGAGCTGATTTTTTCAACGTTTACATGCAATAGACTATAGTTAAATCTTTCTAATAAGGGGTGAATTTCGTGCTTACCGTACTCATATTGTAGATGTTAAATATCCTTTATGATAATCTTATTTTGTTTCAAATAATTATCACAAATATAAAAATCATACACATCAAAAACAGAGGAGCACACGACATGCACAAAGAAAAAAAGCCTTAAGCATTTTCAAATCGGTTCGGCAGCAGTGGTCCAAATGTCTAGCATTGCATCCGGAATTCCGTAAAAGAATCTACTTAGAAGTCAAAAATGCGACTCCTACACTTTGTGCTCTAAACTGTGTTATAAATTATAGAATAAACCGTAAATCAATTGAACCCATTTCAAGGTGGAACTGCATGCTTTTTGATATGATTGGGCTATTTGTGGCGCCAGATAATCCAAACATAGAAGTCGATACGTGACAATGCGTCTCGAAAAATTCTTTGATCTGTTATATGACTGGAAAATTCTGTTCTTAAAAACAACCGGCATGACAATGACTACATAATAAGTTGGGAGTTCTACAATAGGGATCTTTTAGTGAAATGTTAGAGAAATTTAAGTTTAAATATATCCTTTGTGTTTGAATTACCACTTATGGCTGGTTGTGTCGTATTATGTATCAATCTGGAAATTTCTGTTTTATAGCTATTGTTCTCGAAAGTAAGACGCACAATTTACGTATCGTGTCGCGTTTTCATATTTTTAATAATTATGAAACAGTCAATGCGCGTCTTTTTGGTTATATTTCAGTTCTAGAAAAATGAGTTGTTGCTGGATTTATAATAACTGAAACGTTTTGTAACCACCATGTTAGAAATGGCGAATGCATAAGGATACTAAACACGAATGGCATAGCCATAATGGCACATCCTCCTATTAAATTTGACACAAAACCGGAGGCCAAATTCGCAGCGCCCTAAAATGATTAGAATCCGAGTCTTGTGACCAGTACCGTAATTTTATTTTAATCATACACGTCTGGTTAATCGAGACTAGGGAAAATAATTTCGTTCAATTAATTTCCAGTCTCAATTTTTTTCTGCGTATTTAGAGCTAGCAACAATGTAACTTCTAAAGTAACTAAAGCGCCCACTAACAACAGAGTTTTACGGTTAAATAAAAGTAACTTTCACAGTCTTGCAGTGTCGGTATGTTGCCACGAGAGTGGATTTAACAGATAGAAAAAGGGCGAAACTAAATGAGTTGACTCTGAACCGAGAACCGTTACAATATATACGTCATTGGTTACAATCAATTAAGTTAGAAATTAAATCGCCGAGTTTTAGCCAAAATTTTAATCTAGTTCGTAACTACTTATTTTTAAAAGTCCAACGAGTAAAGAATAATTTTTTACATGGCTTCATTGATAAATAAGTAAATGGATATTGTCACGTGAATGTCTATTTTGGGCGACTGTTTGCTGCTTACAGTGCACGAGCGAGCCCGTGAGAGCACTTTTCTCATAAACGAAGTTTTGATCCGCGTGACAACATGCTGTTAAAACAGGTCAATTTATATAGTACAGATAATTGAGTCTGTGGGCCACTCTAAATTAAATGTATCCGTGTATCAGAAATGAACAGTAACCTTTCTGCATATTTCTGATACACGGATACTTTTAAGCATGTATTGAAAATAAACAGGACAGTTTTATCAAAGGTTGCCAGTGGCAACGAGTAGAAGTGGGAATGGTTGTCGCCATTACTATATTTGAGAAACGGGCGAGAATGTTCTCTGTTAGTTCTCTATTTGTCTACGTAACCACAGTCTATAGACAGGTAAAACCACATAGTTACTATGTAATTAAATATGTGTATATGGTATTTTGAACATATCTATACAATGACATTATTTCTGACTAGTGAAACTGTTATTAAACAAGTGTTGGAATCAGCATACCCTTTATCTTTTCAGAGTTTACCGTGAAACAAAGTAGTGCAGCTTTACGGTTGTGCTAATATATTTTCGGATAATGTAACGATTTGTTGTTCTTGGTGGTTAACGTCTGTTGTAATATGAGAGGCGTCTACATGATGTGATAGTTGTGTACATAATAAACAGAATGGATCCTAATAGGTCCTAGCACCGAGTCTTGGGGGACTCCACAATGTCACACTCTGCAATATCCTTCTCAAAGATAAGCAACACTATCTTAGTGATAACAGAGATCAGTTTAGTAAATATATACATCAGGTATATACAACAGAACAGCTACATAAATACAACAGGAACTAAACTACGTCGGGACTATAAACGATAACATTAACATGGTTCATTAAGACAACCATTCCGTCCTCCTGCCACGGCAGCGACTGAACTCGGTTGAGTCCATACGCCGGTCTCTCTCCTCATCCCCGCTCGTCTCTTGTCTGCGCCTCGTCTGTCTGTCGGCAAACTCCTGATTATATAGCCTACGACAATAGGGAAAATAGATAAGACCTACAATCTTACAAGCAATTGTCTATTTATCACGTCATGGTATGCTTACTGACCAGTGCGTATGCAGAGCTTGTACACAGATCATATGTTGTTTGTAAATGACATATAGGATTAATTACATGTTTAATTAGATCATAGCCAGTTCGTGGCTTAACAGAAGTCGATATCATCTATTATCAAAACCTGCTAGGGTCAATAAGTTCATATAACCTAAATAATAGTTCGTGTTTTAAAAAATTGAAAATCAAACTCTTTTACAGATAGTAACAAAAGGACCTGGGGTACAGGAGGGGTGGGGTATTTATTAATTATCTAATTAATTGAGATAGATGGGGTTTAACATCCACTCGACACAAACTAGGTCATTTGGGGACTAACATATGGTTTAATTTTATTTCAATAATTCGCCTGCGCGTAGGGGTCTTTAGCAGTGGGAGGAAACCGGAGGACCCGGAGAAAACCCAAGAGGTTGGACAGGCGACCCGACTCCTTGTCACTTACAACCGGGGATTCAAAACCACGCCAGTCGACTCAATGACAGACTTTATGATACAGCACACGCACGCTAACCATTCAGCCATCCAACCCCCTAATTAATGAGAGAAGTTCTTGAAGAATTTGATAATTTATTGAACAAGCTGTTTATGAAATACAACATTATGGCATAATTTTTTATAAATAATGTAAACTCTTACATAAATAATATGTACAACATTTTTAACATAAAAAATATAGCTGATTGTAATAATACAGACATACAGCTCAAATAGATAAACTGTTTACAGCTCAAATATTACATCTTAAAACAAGATTATGGACTGTTTACAGCTCAAATACAGGTAAACAGTAATACAGAAGTATAGATGGACTGTTCACAGCTCAAGTATAGGTGAATAGCAATACAGAGGTATTGATGGGCTGTTCACGGCTTAAATATAGGTGAATATTACATCCTAATACAGGCTTATAATTGACAGCTGAAATTTAGAATATTAGGCCTACATCCTAATACATTGACAGATCAAATTTAGCTGAATATCTATCTTATGAGATACTGGGTTTTTTTAATTGTTTATGAGATTATAATATACTATTAAATCATACCTGGAGTACTGGATTTAACCCACTGAATCCGGTAAACAACAGAATTCTGGGTGACGGTGAATATACTAATTAAGCAGAAACCAATCTGATTACCTCATCACGATTCTACTTACTGGGGTATATAGGAAAATAATTTCCTGTACAGTTCAATTGGGGACAATACTGACTGACAATACAAATGACGCCATATAAACAAACATGTTGTGGCATGTGGTAGAATTCAGTATTTCAAAGTTTTAACCCTTACATTACATAAAAGTTAATTTTGTAGTGTTTTTACATAAATCAACATTAATTTACATTCAAATTGGTTGAAATAAAAATGTCTAGATAATGGGAACCCCCTTACCCACCTCAAGTTTCTATGGTCAGTCACGCCGGAACAGTCCCTCTCCCACCCCTGCGATTATTTTTCTGCACACGCCCTTGTGATTGTGAAGTTCAAGTATTTTAGTACCACTAAGGTTATATAGTTCTAATATCTGTACATATGTAAAGTGAATTTATGTTAGAAAACAACCTTATGGTTGAGATGGTTTATGGTAAATACTATACTATCATTATTAGATCATGATTTATCAGAATCAAGACTCAATATTGCCACCAAGCCGCTTATTCCTAAACACAGAATACTTTAGACCATACCGGTGTGTGTCGTGTATGTGGCAGTGTATACTTAATCTTCCCAGAACACCTAGTTCCACTTCCATTTTTTAAAAATATTTTTTTAATCAGAAAATCTTTAAATTTCTTTAAAATGTAACACGTTTAAACTTTCCAGAACACAAAGTTTCACTTCCATTTTTTAATACTTATGAATCAGAAAATCTTTAAAATGTAACACCCCATTAGAAATGAAATGGAGTTTAACGTCCTACTGTTCTGCTCACCCCATTAGATTGTAGGATATATTATAAATACAATGTTTTAATTAGCACAGGTTTTTTTTTTCGTGACTTAAGTTAATAAAATATATTTAGCAGACAACAGGAATTTAAATCACTCAAAAGTCAGGTAAAATAAGAAAGAAGAGTTTGTTATGAAGTGCGGTAAATCAAGGTAAATCAAGTTGAATCAGGACAACACCACAAACTAAAATCTATTTTACACTCATGTCTAAAACATGCAATGAGTTTCAGTAATCTTCACATAAGTCAGATTTAAGTCGACTGACCAAATCCGACTTATGCAAAGTTTACTGTGTATCAAAGATGCATCATGTAAGAACTAAATTTACCCATTGCAGGTATTTTTTCTAGCTTTTCAAACAATGTTATACAAACTATTATTTAGACATTTATTCCCTCGGCAAGCCAATATTCAACTCACTAGATCATCGAATGGTTTAGATATTGAATTGATTCGAACCATCTCTTCATTGCACAATTTAATAATAAAATGGATAATCAAGACTGGTTATTATATTAGCAATGGTACTTGACAATCAAGGCTATCTAGTCAAACTTTTAACAGCCATAACTTCGCTCAGAAAAAAGTAATCTGACTGAAATTCTCTACTTTATTATCTACTTTTCAACTATGAGGGAGAAAGAGAGAGAGCGTTTAATTCCACTCACACAAATAGGTAATTTCGGGACTAACATATGGTTCAATTTTATTTCAATAATTCACTTGTGCGCATAGAGGTCTTTAGCAATGGGAGGAAACCGGAGGACCCGGAGAATACACACGAGGTTGGACAGGCGAACCTACTCCTTGTCATGTACAACCTGGGAATCTATTATAGCGAGAACGACCATCTCTTTATCTAAATCTTACATAATGCATCTTTACAGAAAAGGATTTAATATATAACACACTGTTTTCAAGGGGTAAGTTTTGAATATACCGGAGGCGAGAATTTTTTACGAAGATATTTGAGAACATAAAGGGGAATACAGCTGACTGAAGTTATAACTAAAACTTTCCACACAAAGTTCCACGTTTGGAGAAAATCTGTGTCTGAAAAAAAAAAATACAGATAATGAACAATGTGTGGATGAGAATTAAGAGAGAGAGAGAGAGAAATAGGATTTAAAGTCCACTTGACACAAACTAGGTCATTTCGGGACTAACATATGGTTCAATTGTATTTCAATAATTTGCTTGCGCGTAGGGGTCTTTAGAAGTTGGACAGGTGACCCTACTCCTTGTCACGTACAACCGGGGAATCGAAACCACGCCTGTTGACTCAATGACAGACTTTATGATACAGCGCACACATGCTAACCATTCTGGTGTCATGTGTTGGAATGCTTATCAATATTTTTTCAATATGGAATTTTATCCTTGTAGTGCTGTGTCAAAGGTTTTTAACATTTCGTTAAACCCACACATTCAACACAAAAAAACGTGCATGAGAAAAGCAATCTGTTTAAAATACAGATCTATAGTTCATTTCATTTTTTTATACTTTTGATGGCCTCAACTACATCAAGATCCCACTGTTAGTAGTGGAAGGTCACATCAGAGGTCATATGAGTGACTTTTGAACCTATGACATCAGACATTGATTATTAATCAGCGTTGACGTTTCTAGTGGTTTACCCACAGTTCCGTGCATCTCACACCAAAAACTCGCTGTAACAGATCGTTTCATTGGCTAATTCGTCACATCATTCAGAATGTGTTTTTTTTTTTAACAACTCTTCTAGATCCTAGTGTAGTAAAGACAAGTAGAACGGAATTTTGAACTATTAAAAACAAAATGAAATAGGATCTGTGTTTTAATCGGATTGTGAGAAAAGCAATTAACTTTAAATACTGACTTACCAAAATAATCTCTGAGAACAGCCAATGAAGCTATGTAGATTCCCAGACTGAAGATTTCTGCTACAATCATTAAATAATGCCAAGTTCGTATCGTCAAGGCAACCATTAATAATTCCGTTAAAATTAATGACGTAAAAGTGATGGAAACAACATGAACAAAATCTTCTTCAAACAGAAGTAAAGCACCATACATGATTATTCCCCCTGAATAAACAAAATGATTAGCTTGACTTTAAAATGAACTGAATTGATTTGAGCTGAGTTTCTAACCTCCTTCTTTACTTTTACTACTGAGCTAATAAAGACGAGCACATGCCATAAAGGATAGCTGGCTCGTTAGCCTGGAGGTCACGTGTTTGATCCCTGCATTTGCTGAGAAAGTTTATCAGGATTTTCCGACGTGGTTTCCCTTTGTCAGTGGTGCAGAACGGAGGGCCTGACAAGGACAACTGTCTAGTATAAGATGAAATACTGAGGTCCCATGTATACATTGGCGTGCACATAAACGATCCCCTGGCAGTTGGAATTCAATATAAGAGTAGGCCATAGTGCCGCTGCTCGGGCAAAATTTCCCTCATAACACACTGTATGCCCGACTTCATTAGCCCAGTCGGAGCAGAACAGTAGGACATTGAACCCCATTTCAATTCAATTCCAGTTGTTCAGGAATTTTACATACAAGCCAACTCTTGAACACTGGACCTTTGGGTTTTTTTACCCCATGCTGTTCCTTGCCAGGCCCTCTGTCCTGAAACACGGACAAGGGGAAACCAAACCAATCTCACCTTGATTAAAGGGTTACGCTTATTACTGATGGGATAAGCTCTGTGCTGTTATTGTACTGTATTCAATTCGACAAAGTAATTAGAAGCCTGTTTACAATTTTAGATGTTCTTTGATCAAAATAACAAAAGTCCTATCTCAGGAGATGTACGTGAAATGCAGTCAGATCCCAATTTTCCAAACACCAGATCCAAAAGTTTGTATCAGGTGATAAGAGTGAGAAATGGGGTTTAACCCCCACTCAACACAAACTAGGTCATATCGAAACTAGCACATGGTTCAATTTTATTTCAAGAATTTGCTTGTGGGTAGGGGTCTTTAGCATTGGGAGGAAACCGGACGCCCCAGAGAAAACCCATGAGGTTGGGCAGGCAACTCTACACCTTGTCTTGTAGAAGCTGGGAATCGAAACCGAAACCATGCCAGCTGAATCAATGACAGACCTTACGATACATTAACCATTCGGCCACCCAACACCCCCAGTTGATAAGATAATGTAATCTCACCTTGGTATATGCTGATTAAAACCCATAAAAAGAAAGTTTTAAATGATAAAGACCGACCCTGAAATATTCAAATATTTTTAAAATTAGACAAAAAAAGTAAATATTGGTTTTCTTGTAGGTGTTTTTACAATCACATGCTTGGCCCATTCTGAAAAGAAACAAACCCATATTGTCTCTTGAGACTTTTCATCTCTAGACAATTTTGCTTTGCGTGGAGAACAGAATTTAAACTTTGCCACGCTATTGACATGAAAATCAAATTTTTTTATTTTTTTTCTTAAACAGAATATTATTTGAAACAGTCAAATTATCAATATTCACAATTATAACTAACCTTTGTGAGTTCTTTATACAATTCTGGATACGTCATGGCGATGGCTGCCGACACATCTTTATCTAATACTAATGAGAAGACAGGATACATGGTATATACAGTCGCATATCTGAAAAACATAATAATACATGGTATATACAGTATAACACATGGTATATACAGTCGCATATCTGTAAAATATAATAACACATGGTATATACAGTAGTATAACACATGGTATATACAGTATAACACATGGTATCTACATTATATCACATAGTATCTACAGTATAATACATGGTATATACATTATAACACATGGTTCCTACAGTGGCATACATCTGTAAAACAATGAATGAAATGAAATGGGGTTTAACGTCCTACTGTTTTGCTCCTATACTGGGCTAATGTAGACGGGCATACGCCATACAGTGTGCAATGAGGGAAATTTTGCCCAGGCAGAGGCACTATCGCCTACTCTTATATCGAATTCCAACTGCCAAGGGATCTTTTATGTGCATTCCAATATATACACGGCACCTTGGTTTTTTTCATCTCATCCGAAGGACTAGACAGCTGTCCTTGTCAGGCCCTCTGTTCTGCACCACTGACAAGGGGAAACCACGTTGGAAAATCCAGTTGAACTTTCTCAGCCAATGCAGGGATCGAACACCCGACATCCAGGCTAGCGAGCCAGCGTCTTAACCACCTAGCTACCGTGGCTCCCATCTGTAAAACACTGTAACACATAGTATATATACAGTATATTACATGGTATATACATTATATCACATGGTATCTGTAAACCATTGCACCACATGGTATATACATTATAACTCATGTTATATACAGTATAACACATTGTTTATACAGTATATAACAACTTTTGGTCGTCGAAGGAATTTTTAGTGAGCAGAAATTCGCCCATGTATCTGTTATAACCCGTCACTTCAGTCAGTTATATAGAGGGATATCTCAAGTTTTCCTTTTGCTTTCATCACTTCCGTTTGTTGAAAAATTGATTACTCATCTATCGTAGCAATGATCTCTGTGATAAAATAATATTTGGAACGTGTTTAACCAGTTCTATCACATATGTGATAATGACTGGCACCAATATTGTCCTTTAACCCACAGAAATGGCGTTTGAACGTCCTATTTTTCTGCTCTGACTGTGCTCACAAAGACGGATCCCTGGGAAGAGAGAGTTACGTCACTTACCCTATCATTAAAAACCCTGGGAAGAGAGCGATGGAAGCAAAATAAAACACAGAAACGAACACAGCCTGCATGACGGTGATAATCAAACCTCGATGAATAACAAACTGACTCAATGATGCAGATCTTTTATAACTGAAAATATAAAAACATAATATAAATATTAGTTACCAGGCAACAAAATATTATAACTATCATTGATTTTAACTGAAAATATAAAAACATAATACAAATATTAGTTGCCAGGCAACAAAATATTATAACTATCATTGAATTTAAAGTAAATTATAAAAACATAATATTATTCGGATTGAAATAAATTTATAATCAGGAATATTGAAAATACTTTAAGGTCAATGTTCGAATTTACACATGTAACAGAACTGATTAAGAGAGAGAGAGAGAGAAATGGGGTTTAATGTCCACTCGACACAAACTAGGTTATTTCGGGACTAACATATGGTTTAATTTTATTTTAATAATTCGCTTGTGCGTAGGGGTCTTTAGCAGTGGGAGGAAACCGGAGGACCCGGAGAAAACCCACGAGGTTGGACAGGCGACCCTACTCCTTGTCACGTACAACCAGGGATTCGAAACCACACCAGTTGACTCAATGACAGGCTTTATGATACAGCACGCACGTGCTAACCATTCGGCCATCCAACCCCCCAGAACTGATAAAACGCATCCCAAATACAGAACTGAAATGAAATGTGGTTTAACATCCTACTGTTCTGCACCAACAGGGATAATGAAGACAGGCATACAGTGTGCTATGGGGGAACATTTTGCCCGGGCAGTGGCGCTGTGACGTACTCTTATAACTGTCAGGTACGTGTAACATATTCTTATAAAAAATAAAATTTTGCCCTGAAAGCGGCACTGGATCCTACACAGGACCTCAACTTTTCGACTTTAAGTTGTCCTATGCCGGGCCTTCTGTTCTGCATCACTGACAAGAGAGAACCATGAATGAAAATCTTCACAAACTTTCTCGACCAACACTGGCAGTAAACCTGAGACCTGATGATATATGAAGCCAGTGCCTTACTCTATAAGCCATCAACAGCCTCCATTCCATATACAACGTAAGAGAGAGAGAGAAATGAGGTGTAACGTCCACTCGACACAAACATATGGTTCAATTTTATTTCAATAATTCGCTTGCGCGTAGGGAGTCTTTAGCAGTGGGAGGACAGCAGAGGACCCAGAGAAAACCCACAAGGTTGGACAGACGACCCGACTCCTTGTCACGTACAAGTGGGGAATTGCCAGTTGACTCAATGACAGACTGGCAAAATTTTACAGCTCGCATGCGCTAACCATTTGACCATCCAACCTTCGCAAATATAAATATAGAGATCTTTAATGCATATTACCTATTTCTACCATGAACCATCAATAATCTACCAATATGGCTGAACTGTGTAATAGAGAAATCAGCCGCTAGAGATGCCTGTTTACCTTCCTATAGAAAACACAAAATAAACAAAATATTATCTAGTACCCAGACCACTTTCAAAACACAGAGAATGGACCAGGGCATTTCAGGACTAACATAGTTTATAAAATCAGGCTGAAGTCATTAAGTAGATACTATGTCGCTATGTTCAGGTGTGTGTATTCGATCAACAGGTGTAATAATTAGTCACTGTCTTACAGCTAGCTACCTGCTCATAATGACTACTGTATAATTTCTAACCACTTACTATAAATAATAAACATTAATTAACAGTAATGATCACTTGTAGGATTTAATGACAAAATAAAATTTAATTAGTAAAAGGCCAAGGTTCATAAGTAAGCGCTCTCAGCTTAACAATGTTAGAGATCATCGAACACCGCAAACGTTAAACTTTGACTACTTTCAAACCACATTATTATTATTATTATTATTATTACCTACCTTTCCAACAATTCCTATCCCAGCATCAGCTGCTTGTATCATACTGACATCATTTCCTCCATCACCTTGACAACACAACATTATATAATTAATGAATGAAATGGACTTTAACTATTGCTTTTTCTACTCTGACTGCGATAATAAAGATGAAGCGACATCGTGCAGTGTTTTATGAGGGACAGTGTGTTATGAGAGACAGTGACAGTGTGTTATGAGGGACAGTATGTTATGAGAGACAGTGTTTTATGAGAGACAGTGTGTTATGAGGGACAGTGTGTTATGAGGGACAGTGTTTTATGAGGGACAGTGACAGTGTGTTATGAGGGACAGTGTTTTATGAGGGACAGTGTTTTATGAGGGACAGTGACAGTGTGTTATGAGGGACAGTGTGTTATGAGGGACAGTGTGTTATGAGGGACAGTGTGTTATGAGGTACAGTGTGTTATGAGGGACAGTGTTTTATGAGGGACAGTGACAGTGTGTTATGAGGGACAGTGTGTTATGAGGTACAGTGTGTTATGAGGGACAGTGTGTTATGAGGGACAGTGACAGTGTGTTATGAGGTACAGCGTGTTATGAGGTACAGTGTGTTATGAGGTACAGTGTGTTATGAGGGACAGTGTGTTATGAGGGACAGTGACAGTGTGTTATGAGGTACAGCGTGTTATGAGGTACAGTGTGTTATGAGGTACAGTGTGTTATGAGGTACAGCGTGTTATGAGGTACAGTGTGTTATGAGGTACAGTGTGTTATGAGGGACAGTGACAGTGTGTTATGAGAGACAGTGACAGTGTGTTATGAGAGACAGTGTGTTATGAGGTACAGTGTGTTATGAGGTACAGCGTGTTATGAGGTACAGTGTGTTATGAGAGACAGTGACAGTGTTTTATGAGAGACAGTGACAGTGTGTTATGAGAGACAGTGACAGTGTGTTATGAGAGACAGTGACAGTGTGTTATGAGAGACAGTGACAGTGTGTTATGAGAGACAGTGTGTTATGAGGTACAGTGTGTTATGAGGTACAGTGTGTTATGAGGTACAGCGTGTTATGAGGTACAGTGTGTTATGAGAGACAGTGACAGTGTGTTATGAGAGACAGTGACAGTGTTTTATGAGAGACAGTGACAGTGTGTTATGAGGGACAGTGTTTTATGAGGGACAGTGTGTTATGAGGGACGTTTTGTCTGCACAGCGATTGTGATGGGTTCTTTAACATTCACCACTCAGATTGATTGACCCATCTGGTTCTCTCTGTCCTGTTTTACTGATTGACCCATCTGGTTCTCTCTGTCCTGTATTACTGATTGACCCATCTGGTTCTCTGTCCTGTTTAACTGAAGGGGGGGGGGGAATCATGGTGGAAAATCATGGGAACTTTCCCAGCTGAAACTGGGATCAAACTACAATCCTCTGGTCAGTGAGTCACCTCTATTTTATGTACGGTAGTTAGGTTTATACCTGGCCTGTAGCCATTAAAAATAAGATCCACAAAGACAGACTGCTGGAAGTCAAGGACTTCGGTGCTTTAAGAATTAATAACGTCCAAGCATGTTTTCCTAAAAAAACTAAATAATAATACTAACCTATGGCCGACGTTCTTTTTCCAGTATGAACTCGGAGTAATTTAACTATTTCTGCTTTCTGTGTTGGTGAACAGCGACATACAACTACAGCTGGACATTGACACGCTAACTCAACAAACTCGTGCTCGTAATACTTTAAACATATCTGAAATATCAATAAATTTATACTTGAATAAAAGTGTAACAAAAAATGAGTGTTTCTTTCTTCTTTCAATGATGGTTCTGATTTGAACTCTGCCAGTAACATAATCCATTTTGTTATGGTTGAAGGAGCATTGAGTGAGAAATGGGGTTTAACGTCCGCTCAACACAAACTAGGTCATTTTGGGAGTAACACAATAATTGGCTTGAGCAGTGTGAAGAAACTGGAATATACAGAGAAAAACCATGAGGTTGTACAGCTGACCCTACACCAGTTGACCCAATCACAGTTTTAGAACACTCAACCACCAACACCCACCTTCAGCACAGTGAAAAGCTTGACCTTCTGCTTATCTAAAAGATCCCTTTTAAAGGTTATGAAGTAAGGCAGGTGACTCCACCTCCTTGTCACATACAAGCATGCATTCGAAATCACGACACTTGACTCAATAACACTTAAAAAACAATAAATTGAAATACCTGTAATGAATCTCCAGTAATAATTAAAGCAGCATCATTTTTTCTACGTAATGCGTTTAATTCTAGATGAGCTTCCGTTCTATCTGTGACTTTGTTAAATGTGTAGATATCTTGTGTACGTGAAACAAGTTTTGAACTTTTGGCGATGCATGTAGCAGTTTCCATCTTATCTCCTGTCAACATCCAAACCTGCAAAAAGAGAAACAGAAAAAGGGTTTAACAGGTCATTTCGGGACTAAAATATGGTTCAATTTTACATCAATAATTCGCTAGCGAGGTCTTTAGCTGTGGGATAAAATCAGAGGACCCGCAACACCTCCCAAACTTCCAACTTTAAAATGCTATTGCATTTCAAATGATTTTGAATTTGTCCTGATATTACATGTATATATGTCTTTGTAGCTTAGGAGGGACTTATGGAAGATTGTTTTTTGGGGTTTTTTTTTGCAAACTAAATACGTTGCCTCATTAAATAAAGTTTTTATTATTACTATTATTATTATTATTCCTTCTTGTCATATATAAGTGAGGTATCAAAATAACAGCACGGACTCAATGACAGTCTTTATGAACTAAAAAACGAAACAAAATAGGATGTGTTTTAATCAGATTGTTACCCTAATAAAACATGCCACAATTATATGAAATACATGTTACTCCGAATTTATTTCTGGTGAGGGTTCTCTCGTTTTGATCAAACAAATAATTCCTACCTTAATTCCAGCATTTTTCAGTAATTCTAAAGTTGGTCTGACTCCGTCTTGTAATTTATCTTCTACTCCTGTTAAACACAACAGCTCCATATCTCGTTCTAAACTCTCGATAACTGCCTGCATCTTGGCGTTACGATCTTGAATACTCATCTTTGCTTGATGATAACGCGACTAAAACAATAACAAGTCAACAGATAAATTGGGGAAGACAATTTTACCAGCATGAAAATCATGAAATGCCAATGTGTAAAGCAAGACCTCGGTTTTTCATCCCACCCTTGCCTGTTTCACTGTCCTGCACCACTGACAAGGTGAAACCACAATGTATCCAGATAATCTTTTTTTGCCAAATGTAGGACATCCAGAGAGAAACATGGGGTTTAACACAAACTAGGTCATTTTAGGACTAACATAATGGTGCAATTTTATTTCAATAATTCAACTTTTACATTGGGGTCATTGTAATGGGAGGGAATAATTTTAATATTGTCAACAATTTTCTCACAGATGTGAATGAAAACATACCTCAAAATCCTGATACTGATCTTCAGAAAGTGTTTTTTTGGCAACAACTAAAGTTCTTAAACCTTCTCTTGCCATATTACCACACTGGAAAAATATAAAATATAATCATTTAGCATTTTCTTGCCATATTACCACACTGGAAAATATAAAATATTTTAACCCTTGTCGGTGCACGTTGTGAGAATCACATACCAGGTATCAAGGGGTCCATAAGGACCCCAGTTATAATTCAAAGTTTTTACGTACAGATATATCTGAATTAAAAGGCAGCGGTTTAGTTTTTATTTGCATTCATATTTGACAACTGAAAAACAACTAAATTATTATACAAAAACATTTTAGTGACATTTGGAAAAGATTTAATAATTCTCACAAAATTGCTACTTTGTGTACTATGTGATAAAGAGGTTAAATGGCAATTCACGCTTGATACACAAACCATTGAATATTTGGAATTCATCATTTAATTTTGGGTATTTGTAACATGCAGATGTTAAAAGAGAGAATACTCTGGCATACGCAATATGATATTAGGCAGCAAATACATTACCAAAATCCCTATTGTGAGTTGAAAGTTAGGGGTCCGATTGGGCCCCTTGTTTCCTTCAAGCGTTGGGCCTGATTTGCATATAACAGAACTCTGCATGTGAGAAGCATATGAATACCAAACTCTTCGCTACGTGTAAAAATGTATAGGAGACAAAGTCACTAAATTTCAGAAAGCAGTACCCAGTAGTTATTACCAAACACTATGAAACATGTGCATGGGGTCCACGGAGACCCCACGTGCACAGACAAGGGTTAAATTAATATTCCCTTGCCATATTACCATACCCTGTTTCCCAATGTATATAATGGTGATGATGATGATGATGATGATGATGATTAACCTACCTCTTCTTCCAACCAATCATTATATTGAACTATTGACTGCATCACAACATCAGCACCTTTCATATAAAAATAGATTTCTCCACTTTCTTCCTCCTACAAAATAAAACAAAATATTATTTTATTTTGTTTCTTATAATTCGAAATTTTGTTTTATTTGTCTGTACTACACTAGGATCTGGAAGAGTTGTTATATAAACCAAGTTCTGGATTGTGTGAGGGATTAGCCAATGAAACCATCTGTTACAGAGACTTTTTGGCAGGTGATGCATGGAACTATGGGTAAACCACTAAAAACGTTAAAGCTGATGGATTAATCAATATCTGATGTCATAGGGTTGTATGACCTCTGATGCAACCTTCGAGTACAACTGGTCAGATCTTCATGTAGTGTAGGCCATCGAAAGTATAAAAAAACAAAACGAAATATAGATCTGTATTCTAATCAGATTGCTAAAAAGTAGGACAATAAACCCTATTTGATATTCACCCACCTTTAAAATAATCCCCATTCTTTTACTCTCCGAGGTAAATGGGAAGATCTGTAATATTTGATAGGTTACCATAGCACCAGATGGTGTACGCAATGTCATCGTATTAAAATCACGTTTTACAAGCGTCAAACTCACATCTTCTGTCCATGATACTAACGCCACCTGACGAGAGAAAGCATTATTATTAAACACAACAAAAGAACTAAAATATCTGAACTTTTGAAAGAATAACTTAACTTCTTACATCTCAATTTGTGTTTCATTTATAGATTAAGATTTGATTTTAATGGAGAGAGTCAGTGAGATAATGATGTCACAAAACAATCAAAATATCACATTTATCGCATATCAATTTTCTAAATAATCAATGATTTAAATTTCGGGTTTAACCCTTTAGCATTTAGAACACTGCAACCCCCCCCCCCCCAACCTGCCTATGTAGGGCTAGTTAGATCACCCTGAAGATTCTCCTTAGCCCATCACCCCCACCCCCACACCCAAACCACCATAACAGTCTCCATGGACCACCCCAAACCAGTTAGAGGCAGTCTAAGGAAGCCCAGTTTCAGACTATACAGGTGTTAATATATCAATTTTCTTTAATTTTTTTCAAGGAACTGTGGTAGTCAATAATTACATGTATCAATTGCTAAAGGATTAACCTGCGAATTTTTCAAGCCAATTTTCTTTTAATGAATATTATATTAGTATTAACAGTTTGGGTTAAACATATCAATTTTACATCGTTATATTGTATGACTCTTACCTCGTCAGGACTCGACGCTTGATATGTGACTTTCTGTTGAATTTGTTGATCAGCCTCTGTTTCATGTGACGTATCGTTATTAGTTACGTCTTCGTAAACTGGCGTGACATTATGACATAAAGCTATAGCTTTCACTGCTTCGACAACACGAGTTACTACAGTACGTCTGACAGGTCCAGATTTAATTGGGGTCATTGCGCCCCCGGTACTACCAGCTTGCTGTGAATACGCTGTTCGTAGATGAGCAGTCACCTGAAATATATAGAGAAATATATACAAAAACTTAAACCAGTCCATAATTTTGTTAGTGTATAAAAATTACAAATAGATTAGTAACATTACGTTTGTTATAGTTTTCTGAATGAATTATAATACCTCTTTAAGAATAAGAAAACTAGGTCAGAAGAGTTTTTTTCTAAAATTTCTAAAAATTAAATAAATGCCTTTAAAATACATTTAATAAAAGAATAAGATTGATTTTTAGTCTGCAAATATGATAGGTCATTTTGGGACTAACATATGGTTCGATTCTATTACAATAATTCACTGGAGTCTTTAGCTGTCTGGAGAAACAGAAGAACAGTGAAAAAGCCCACAAGGTTAGACAGGCAACAATACTTGTCACGTTCAAGTGGGGAATCAAAACCACACCATTTGACTCAATGACGACAGACCTTGTGACATGTTGACCCATTCGGCAAGCCAACTCCAACTGATAAAATGATTGTTTTGAAGGTATTGGCAATAAAATGGTCAGTTTTAAATGAAATGAAATGGGTTTTAACGTCCTACCGTTCTGCTCCAACTGGGCTAATGAAGATGGGCATATACCATACAGTGTGCTATGAGGGAAATTTTGCTTGGAAAGCGGTGCTACGGTCTACTCTTATATCGAATTCCAACTGCCAAGGGATCTTTAACATGCACACCAATGTGTACACAGGACCTCGTTTGTCCCATCTGAACGACTATACTTTTACCCTTGCCAGACCCTCGGTCCTGCATCACGGACAAGGAGGAACCACGCGGGAAAATGCCAATGAACTTTCTTGGTCAACGCAGGACCTTCATGTTACTGAGCCACCATGGCTCCCGATCAGGTTCAATGAATCTGTGTAGCGGGGGTAATGGTTTGTATAAATCTACTTACCTCATCCATTGTGTCTGCTGTAAAAGCCACCGTACCAAGATGAAGTTTTTTAAAGATCTAAAATAAAAAACATCATTTTAAAATATAAAACTTCTATATGTAAAAACATTGAATTCAGCTGAAGTACATAATTTTAAGATATAAAACTATTGAGTTCAGCACAAGTACATTATTTGGGGACTAAAATATGGTAAACCTAAATTAAATAAAAAAAGTACATCTTTTGTGATCTATGAAAATGTTCTACGTTATTTCACAAAATCAGTATAACTTTTCTTGAAAAATATCACATCCCAAGCTATTCAATCTCATAAATATCTTAAATCTAATAGTTTTCAGCTTTTTAAATGCAAGTTCAAACAATTGCTCCAATGGTGATGAATATCATAATGCAGGGCTGAGTTTGCTTACTTTATAAACCACTTGATCACATTTCCCATTTGAGGAGTTTTCATGGTTAACACGTTGTTGGTGCACTTTTGTTGGGATGGCATCAAGGTTTTCTTTAATACTAGGTTCCCACTACCACGAATCGCGCTACGATTGAAATCACAGTTTTAATCGTGGAGTAATCGTGGTGATCCTATCAGGTCTTATCATATATTGAGTTCAGTCGTAGCAATCGTGTTGATTGTATCGAAAGGTATCCGAACGTATATGGACGCACCAGATCGTGGACTCAATAGAGGGACAATCCTATCGTAACGCACCACACGATAGTGGGAACGTAGCATAAGGGAATTACAAGATTGTCTCATGTTTAATTCTGTTGAAATTATTTGTATTTGGGGTCTTTAGCAGTGGGAGGATACTGGAAGACCCTGAGAAAACCTACAAGGCTTAGCAGGCAACCGTAATCCTTGTCACGACAAGTGGGGAATCTCAACCACACTTGACTCAATGACAGATCTTCCCACGTACAAACTGGGTGATTTGCTGATATATTTAGACTAAATACATATACAAACTAATTAATCTATCAAAAATATGATTCAAATCCCTCTCAAATCTTTGTATTCACGAGGAGATACCCCAAGCTATATACAAATAACTGTATATGAATCATACCATTTCGTTCTGGGTCAATGTACCAGTTTTATCGGACAGTAAATATGTAATACGTCCTAGTTCTTCTGGTATCGTAGAACTACGAACAGTTGTACCAGGAATTAATTTATCTCTCTGGATCATCCACGAATACACAGCTTTACCCATATCTAAATTTACACGCAAACTGAAAAATATACAATTATTATCTAGATCAGCATGAAAACTGAAAAATATACAATTTATGATTTGATGTGATCAGAAAAAATATACAACTCATCATTTGATCATTTGTGGTTCCCCCTTGTCAGTGGTGCAGGAGGCAGGGCCTGACAAGGACAGCTGTCTAGTCCTTCGGATGATACGAAAAACCGAGGTCCCATGTATACATTGGAATGCACGTAAAAGATCCCTTGGAAGTTGAAATTCGATATAAGAGTAGGCGATAGTGCTGCTGCCCTGGCAAAATTTCCCTCACTGCGTGTTGTATGCCCGTCTTCATTAGCCCAGTATAGGAGCAGAACAGTAGGACGTTAAACCCCATTTCATTTCATTTCATTTGATCATTTGAAAACTAGTCGATTCCTGACATGATCATCGGTAAAATAGGATATGATTAAGATCCAAACTAACACATAGATATAACGGTACCTATAATAATTGTAATTTTTAATGTCGTCATCCCAAGCACCCTCAATATTTTGTCTGCCAGAGAGAGAGAAAGAGAGAGAAATGGGGTTTAACGTCCACTCGACACAAACTAGGTCATTTCGGGACTAACATATGGTTTAATTTTATTTACATAATTCGCTTGCGCGTAGGGGTCTTTAGCAGTGGGAGGAAACCGGAGGACCCGGAGAAAACCCACGAGGTTGGACAGGCGACCCTACTCCTTGTCACGTACAACCGGGGATTCGAAACCACGCCAGTCGACTCAAAGACAGACTTTATGATACAGCGCGCGCACGTTAACCATTCAGCCATCCAACCCCCCTGTCTGCCAGAGAAACTTTCCCACTACACTAACCACATTAAAATCTGAATTATGTTCAGACACATGAGTGCGGGAGAGAAATGATGCTTAACGTCCACTCGCGACACAAACAAGATCATTTCAGGACTAACATTTGGTTCGATTTTATTTCAAAAATTTACTTGCTCATAGGAGTCTAGGTGTGGTAGAGAGAGAGAGAGGGAGAGAGAGAGAGAGAGAGAGAGAGAACGATATCAATCGGAACTATAGACTTACCTGATTGGTATGATATATGAGAACAATAAGATGAATCTAAACAAATAACGATACCATGGACCATTAAAACCCTGAAAAAACAAAATGTATTTTCTATTTAAACTTCAGTTATCTCAAAGATGCTATAAACTTAATTATACTTTATTTAAAATGGTATCTAAAGATTTCTCAATGAAACATTATGATGGACTTAGATAAAGAGATATCCGTTCAAAATAGATTGAAAACCTATACTGAAAATTCAGGTTGTTACTTTTTATTCTGAGTGAAGTTAAGAATGTTTGAAGTTTGGAAAAGAAAAACATACTGTCGATTGTCATTCAATCTGATTTAAATACAGATCTATATTTCGTTTCGTTTTTTTATACTTTCGATGGCCTACACTACATGAAGATCAGACAAGTTATAGCGATAGGTCACGTCAGGGGTCAAAAGACCGACTTATGACCCTATGATGTCAGACATTTGATTAACCAATCAGCATTGATGTTACTAGTGGATTACCCACAGTTCCGTTCAAAACACGCCTAAAACTCGCCGTAACAGACCGTTTCATTGACTTATCCCTGACACCATTCAGAACACGAGTTAAATAACAACTCTTCCAGATCCAAGTGTAGTAAAGACAAGTAAAACAAAATTTTGAACTATAAAAACGAAACGAAATAGGATCTGTGTTTTAACCAGATTGATTGTCATTGCTATAATAATAAATGAAGACTTGATTTTCTATGTTAGGGTTGAAGATTTGACAACTTCAACGAATTGTCATAATTTGTCTCCAACTAATGCTGAGTTTCTTTTATTTATAAAAAAATTTCTGGGGTCATTTTAGTCTCATGTTAGAAAAACAAAATTTACAAAACAATCAAGTTTCTCCGCAGACGAACGAATGTTTTAGCTAGCGCCACATAAAATTTTATTATTTCAAAATTACATACATACATACATGTCACATGATAGTTGATTCTTGAATGACATTGATATGTATATGATCGCTGATTGGTGCTGCGTGGTAAAAAAAAATGTCCAGCAAATGTTCAGTTTCAACACAGACAGCAAACAGAGATATGTCCAAGTGGTGAACAATTTCCAAATCTCTAACAAGTTTAATTTCATGAACATTTTGTCAGAACATTTTTTTTCTGCTTTTTTAACCAGCAGACTGTGAATAAATTGATCAGAACAAATGTTTTCATGAATGTTTGACTAATATGTTCCATCGTCCGCGTTAAGACTTTAAATGTGAATAATCTTACCTTGAGTATCATCATGACAATAGCTAAAACAATGACAGCACAAAATAATAATTTAGTTAATGTGTTGATCTCCAGATCCAATAACCCGGTCTGAAATATAAAAATAATAATTTAGTTAACGTGTTAATCTCCAGATCCAATAACCCGGTCTGAAATATAAAAATAATAATTTAGTTAACGTGTTGATCTCCAGATCCAATAACCCGGTCTGAAATATAAAAATAATAATTTAGTTAACGTGTTAATCTCCAGATCCAATAACCCGGTCTGAAATATAAAAATAATAATTTAGTTAACGTGTTGATCTCCAGATCCAATAACCCGGTCTGAAATATAAAAATAATAATTTAGTTAACGTGTTGATCTCCAGATCCAATAACCCGGTCTGAAATATAAAAATAATAATTTAGTTAAAGGGGCATTATGGGAGATTTGTCAAAGAGCTGACAGTTCTCGTCATAATAATTAAAAAATAGATAACATAAAAAGAAGATACTGAAAATTTCAGTGAAATTGCTCTAATTTGAACCGAGATATTAGCGATTGAATTTTAGGCTTAGTTTCGAGCATTATTACTAAAGTCAGTACGATAAAAAAACATAGTCTTGATCATCCATTAGAAAATGAATTCAAATCAAGTAAATATCGCAGGCTAGCGATGGCGTCGAGAGTTGATTATGGTCTGGATAAGTTAATTAATGTCTAATCAATAATTTAGATAACCTTTCAAGCCTAAAGAAAGAAGTGCAATAGGCAGATTTAGCTCTTGCATAATGTCTGTTTAATATGTTGATCTTTAGGTTCAACAACCCCGGTGAGTGGTGAAAATTCTATAGTCTGTCTTATTTAGTCTTGTAGAGTGTCAACAAACAAATTGTGGACGGACGGACAGGGCCGACTGCATAATACGTCCAAATATTCATGTGGACGTAACAAAAACAAGACAATAGTGTAGGTCTCATCACACAACGAGATTGTCCAATCTATATTACCTACGGGATGAGGTAGCTCAGATTAAGACGCTGGCTTGCTAAAAACAAGATCTTGGGTTCGATTCCAGTGTTGGCGTAGAACGCTCATTAGGATTTTCTGGCATGATTTCTCCTTGTCACTGGTGCAGTTTGGAGAGGCTGGAAAGGACAGCTGTCTAGTCGTTTGGATGGGATGAAAAACCAAGGTCCCGTGTACTTGTTGTACAAGCAAAAGAACCCTTGACAGTTAGAATTCGAAATAAGAGTAGGTCATAGTACCTCATAGTACAGAGTACGACGTATGCTTGTCTTCATTCGCTGAGTCGGTGTTTAAAAGTAGAAGTTAAACCCCATTTAATTTCTATTCCCTTGTCCAGGTCCTTACCTTGCTCTGGGGTTTTGATGTATTCATTACAGCCCGAGTTTCTCTACCAGTGTATATCACTAGCCCTAAAGCTGTACCAGATGCAACCACGGTATTAGCCCATAGCGTATTCTCTATACTCAACGAATCTTCACAGATAGTTCCATCAGTCTACAATATAAAAATTACTCCCTGTAATCTTTAAACACGTTCCAAATATAATTTTAACACAGAGATTATTGTTATGATAGATGCGTTATAAAGATTTCAACAAAAGGAAGTGATGAACGCAAAAGGAAAACACAAGTTATCCTTCTATATAACTGACTGAAGTGACGATTGATAACAGATATACGGGTAAATTTCTGCTCACTAATAATTCCTTCAAAGACCAAATGTTGTTATATGAGACTGTGAGAGGATATCTGACAATTCTTGTCATGGAATAAAACAGATCATCATCCCTGTATTTCAGTCTACCCAGCGGTGAATGGGTAAAATTTAAAATATCTAATTTACTTACCCTAGAGAATGTACCAATAAAACTATGGATGGCTTTTTGTGGTTTTTCAGCATAAATATTACCACAAATATCTAAAATTTCCTGTAAATAAAGAATCAAATCATCAAAATATATCTAGTACAGACCTGTCAGCACCTTGTGTGATTTGACAGGCCTAGTCTAGTATAGATCCATCAATCCCTCTAATGGCCTGGTCTGGTACAGAGAGAGAGAGAGAAATGGGGTTTAACATCCACTCGACCCAAACTAGGTCATTTCGGGACTAACACATGGTTCAATTGTATTTCAATAATTTGCTTGTGTGTAGGGGTCTTTAGCAGTGGGAGGAAACCAGGGGACCTGGAAAAAACGCATGAGGTTGTACAGGCGACCCTACTCCTTGCACGTAAAACCGGGGAATCGAAACCCGGCCAGTTGACTCAATGACAGACCGTTTGATACACCGCACGCGCGTGCTAACCATTCGGCCATCCAACCCCCCCTGGTCTGGTACATACAGTCAACAACTGTGATGCTGTTGGGTAGATCGGCCTAGTCTAGTAAAACCTATTAACCCTCCTGATGTAGTAGAGTAGATTGGCCTAGTCTAGGAAGACCCAAGATGAACCAGTTTAAAATAAAAAGCCTTATCGAGTAAAGGTCGCAAGCTGGGTTTTTTAAACTGATTTATTTGCCCCACAACAGCATTCAGTCGATAAAGTTAAACTAGATTAATGATTCTCAGGGTTTTTAAACCAGTTCAAGCATCTGAATGGGCTAGTAGATGAATCTATGTGTGCAGAATGGCATGGTCTAGTAATACCCTTTCCTATAACTATGTTATAAAACTGATTTTTAACATTTGAGAAAGTAACTAACAGCATTTGATTGGAGACGTTGTGTCGTTGGAACAGCTAAACGTAATTTCCAATCTGTTTCTCCATCCAGTTGATCTGTTCGTATAAAACATCCACCATCTTTTTCTGTTGTTCGTATCAACACCATGTCAGCTGGTACACGCTGATTCTAAAAATAATATATAATATATTTATAACTGATATGTTATATATAATATCACTAGGGACCGGGTATCATTCAGATTTGACGAAAAAAGGAAAGAAACTGAGCTTACCATCTAGAATCTAATACTGGTATCTAGTTAATAGATTGCCATCCAGAAAGTGTTAAATGCCGTCGTCAAGATTCATCAAAAAACGTCCAGTTTGTGCTACGTGTAGTTTAAGAAACACTGTTTAGTTTTGACATCGGTCGTCTAGTTTATGAAACCAAATGGTCATAAACCAGACGACCAATATCAAAACTAAACTAAATGGTCAAAAACTAGACAACCAATGTCAAAACTAAATGGTGTTTCTTAAACTACATGGTAGCAGAAACTGGGCGTTTTTTTGATGAATCTTGATGGCATTTAATACTTTCTGGATGGCAATCTATTGGATACGTGTATTAGATTCTAGATGGTAAGCTCAGTTTCTTTCCTTTTTTCGTCAAATCTGAATGATACCCAGTCCTTAGTGTATATTTAATACTGGTTTATCTATACTAATATTTGTGATTGCCCGTTTGTCTGTCTGTCTGTCTGTCTGTTCAGGATTGGCGGACACACTAGGGTTGTCACATGGTTAAAATTTGGTGCATAGGGTTAGCTCACACTAGGGAGTAACATGGGCTACATGGCATTGGTCTACCACTTCCGGTTTGGGAGTTATATGCACAACCCGTGCAGCGTCGGGTCATCTGCTAGTTCTAATATATTCATAACCGGTATATCACAATATTTTATGTCAATTCTGCAAACAAAGCAAGCTTAAGTTTGAAATGGTGCGCTATATAAATGCAAGAATTACTAAACATATATTATAAATGTAGAACCAAAATGAGGTCAAGATTTCTGGAAATGAAATTGGGTTTAATGTTCTACTTTTCTACACCAACTGGGCAAATGAAGATTGGCTAGATTTCTGGCTAATGTACATATAAAAGACAGAGAGAAATGTGATTTAACGTCCACTCAACACAAACAAGGTCATTTCGGGACTAACATATGGTTCAATTTTATTTCAATAATTCACTTGTCCGTGGGGATATTTTCGGTGGGAGGAAACCTGAGGAACCAGAGAAAACCCAGAAGGTTGGACAGGTGACCCTACTCCTTGTCACGTACAACCGGGGAATCGAAACCACGCCAGTTGACTCAATGACAGACTTTATGATACAAAACGCACGTGCTAAACAATTCCGCCATCCAACCCCCCAATGTACATATAAACCATGAACAATGTTATAAGGTTGGGAATGGGGGGGGGGGGGCGACAACACTCCATTAAAAGATAAACAATGGCTGGAAATGAAATGAAATGAAATGGAGTTTAACGTCCTACTGTTCTGCTCCGAACTGGGCTAATGAAGACGGGCATACTGTCATACAGTGTGCTATGAGGGAAATTTTGCCCGGACAGCAGCAATACGGCCTTCTCTTATATCGAATTCCAACTGTCAAGGGATCTTTTACGTGTACGCCAATTTGTACAAGGGACCTCAGGTTTTTCTTCTCATCCGAAGGACTAGATACCTGTCCTTGTCAGGCAAGACAATGGCTGGACCAGTCGGTAGTTCTGTATAGCTGCTGGATCAATCGCTAATACAACTATATATATTTACCCACCTTTTCTACTACTATTAAATCTCCTACACGTATATTCGAACTCGGAACACTCACAATACCATCTCGCGTCTGCTTTTTGTACACCTGAGAGTTAGCTTCCTTGTCTCTACGGTAACGTCTATAATCATCCAGTGCTTCACGACACATGGTTACAAATAATACAAAACACTGAAAATATATACGTACGATAATTTTACAAGAAGAAATGAAAGTGGTTTAAACCCTTAAGATCGCCTTAATTAGGAGTCCTCAGAACATAGCATTGGCACACGAAAACTGGTCCTATCTATATGAAAGGTTTGAGGCGGTCTAAGGAACAATGAGTTACAGAGAGAGAGAGAGAGAGAGATGGGGTTTAACGTCCACTCGACACAAATTAGGTCATTTCGGGACTAACACACGGTTCATTTTTATTTCAATAATTCGCTAGCGCGTAGGTGTCTTTAGCAGTGGGAGGAAACCGGAGGACCCGGAGAAAACCCACAAGGTTGGACAGACGACTCTACTCCTTGTCACGTACAACCGGGGAATCGAAACCCCGCCAGTTGACTGACTCAATGACAGATTGTATAATACAGCGCGCGCGTGCTAACCAATTGGTCAATGAGTTACAGACGTTTCTCTATTTTTCTTCACGGAAATGAGGTAGTGAATATCTATATCTATCAAGTGCTAAATGATTAACATCCATTCAACATCAACACACACCAATCTGATTAAAACCCAGATCCTATTTCGTTTCGTTTTGTTTTACTTGTCTTTACTACATGTACACCAGATCTGGAAGCGTTGTTATATACCATGCGTTCTGGTTGAAGTCAGAGATTAGCCAATGAAACGGTCTGTTACAGTGAGTTCTTGGCATGCGATGCACAGAACCGTGGGTAAACCACTAGAAAAGTCACTGCTGATTGATTAATCAATATCTGACGTCATAGGGTCAAAGCGAATCTCATATGACCTCTGACGTGACCTTCCATTACAATCGTTTAGTGTAGGCCATTGAAAGTATAAACAAGAGCATTGCTAACGCTGCAATATACGTCCACATTCGAGCAGTGATTGATATGGTACTTTTTAAAAAGAAGAAACTACAATATGAAATGGCTGTATTATGATAAAAGGCAAAGACGGCTAGGCGTTGGGTTTGTTTTGCCAAATTTACAGACAAAATACTAACAAAAAAGTGGGTGTGACACTGCCCCAGGAGGTCGGGGCAAGCACCAAAATAAATGGTTGCTGTCTTTACGGTATAAGGAATAAATATGCAAAGTTCCAAGATGATCCATTCAGAATTGCAACCTGTAGAGGATAAATACAAAAAATGGGTGTGGCTCTGTTCCTGGGGGTTGGGCAATCACCAAAAAACAATTGGGGACATCCTTAGGGTATAAGGAATAGGTAAACAAAGTTTCAAAATGATCTGTTAAGAATTGCAGCCTGTAGATGACAAAAAAATAAATACAAGAAATGGGCGTGGCTCTGTCCCGGGGGGCGGACATGCACCAAAAACAATACGGATCATCCATAGGGTGTAAGGAATAAGTGTGTAAAGTTTCAAGATGATCACTTAAGAATCGTGGCCTGTAGGCGCCACACAGACACACACAAAGAAAATGGGCATGGCTCTGCCCCTGGGGGTAGGGCATGCACCCCAAACGATGAAATGGGTGTGGCTCTTCCCCTGGGGGTTGGGCATGCACCCCAAACGATAGGAATGTTCCTTAGGGTACAAAGAATAAGTATGCAAAGTTTCAAGACGATACGTTAAGAAATGCGGCCTGTAGACGAAAAACAAACAAATACAAGAAATGGGGGTGGCTCTGCCCCTGGGGATTGGGCATGCACCAAAAATAATAGTGATCATCCATAGGGTATAATAAGAAATAAGTGTGTAAAGTTTCAAGATGATCACTTAAGAAATGTGACCTGTAGACGACACATAGACACATAAAAGGAAATGTGCGTGGCTCTGTCCCTGGGGGATCGGCATGCACCACAAATGATAGGGATGTTCCTTAGGGTACAAAGAATAAGTATGCAAAGTTTCAATATGATACGTTAAGAAATACGGCTTGTAGATGACAAACAAAGAAATACAAATAATGGCTGTGGCTCTGCCCCTGGGGGTAGGGCATGCACCAAAAACAATAGGGGTCATCCTTAGGGTATAAGGAATAAGTATGCAAAGTTTCAAGACGATACGTTAAGAAATGCGGCCTGTAGACGAAAAACAAACAAATACTAGAAATGGGCGTGGCTCTGCCCCTGGGGGTCGGGCATGCACCAAAAACAATAGGGATCTTCCTTGGGGTATAAGGAATAAGTATACCAAGTTTGAAGAAAATCCAGTAAGAATTGCGCCCTGTAGGCGACACAAAGACACACGAAAAGAAAATGGGAAATGGGCGTGGCTCTGCCCCTGGGGGTTGGGCATGTACCCCAAACGATAGGGATGTTCCTTAGGGTACAAAGAATGTGTATGCAAGATTATAAGTTAAGAAATGTGGCCTGTAGACGACAAACAAACAAATACTAGAAATGGGCGTGGCTCTGCCCCTGGGGGTCGGGCATGCACCAAAAACAATAGGGATCTTCCTTGGGGTATAAGGAATAAGTATACCAAGTTTGAAGAAAATCCAGTAAGAATTGCGCCCTGTAGGCGACACAAAGACACACGAAAAGAAAATGGGCGTGGCTCTGCCCCTGGGGGTTGGGCATGCACCCCAAACGATAGGGATGTTCCTTAGGGTACAAAGAATGTGTATGCAAAGTTTCAAGATTATTAGTTAAGAAATGTGGCCTGTAGACGACAAACAAACAAATACTAGAAATGGGCGTGGCTCTGCCCCGGGGGGTCGGGCATGCACCAAAAACAATAGGGATCTTCCTTGGGGTATAAGGAATAAGTATACCAAGTTTGAAGAAAATCCATGAAGAATTGCGCCCTGTAGGCGAACCACAGACACACACACACACACACACACACACACATACATACATACACACACACACACACACAGACAGGGGCGACGGCATAATACGTTCACATTATGAATGTGGACGTATAAAAAGGAACGAAATAGAGATCTGTATTTTAATTAGATCGACACAAAACAAACTGAACATCATTAATTCAATAATTGTCTTGTAAGGAGGGGATTCTGGCTGTGAGACAAAACTCTGTTGACTGTGGAATGTAAATAGATCCCAAAATTGAATATCCGTGCATCAAATATTGATAAATAATACGGCACAACCAACCGAACAGTGGTAATTTCCACACAAATGATATATTTAACCTAAAATTACTTTAGATTTTCAACACGATACATCATTATTTCAATAATTCGCTCGTGAGAAAGAGTTTTTGGCTGTGGGAGTAAAACTTTGTGAACTGTGGAATACAAAATCAAATATACAAATACCTCAACATTGTGGTTTCATAGCCATTCATCGTTAACACATGACATGATAAATCATTACCAAGTATTTCAATATCTCACTTGTGAGGAGGGGTTTTTGGATCGGGGACCAACCTGTGTTGACTGCTGAATGTGAAATCAAAGAAATTTGAACACTGAGAGAGAGAGAGAGAGAGAGAGAAAGAGAGAGAGGCAGATGGACTGTCATCCTGTCAAACCAATTATCATATAAAATCAAGTGAAATCAAAAATTTTGGTGAGAGGTTGTGTCATTTTAAGGGGTTTTGGTAAAATAAACTCAAGTAGAAATGTTATGGCTCTAATCATAGATTCATTTAAAAAAAAGATCCCTTACCAAAGGGCCCCAATAGGTGTAGAGGTATCCAATTCTTATGGCAGGAAGAAACTGGGACGTAGCCATTATTAAAAAATACAGATTTAAAAAAAACTTGAACTGTTCAAATAACACCTGAAAAAATAAAAACATTTGTTACATGTTTAGATATTACAAATTCAACTACGTCTTATTTCATGCTTGTATAATGATTAGCCAATGAGAGAGAGAGAGAGAAATGGAGTTTAATGTCCACCTGACACAAACTAGGTCATTTCGGGACTAACATATTGTTTAATTTCATTTCAATAATTTGCTTGCGTGTATAGGTCTTTTAGCAGTGGGGGGAAACCGGAGGACCCAGAGAAAACCTACGAGGTTGGACAGGCAACCGTACTCCTTGTCACATACAACCGGGGATTCGAAACAACACCAGTTGACCCAATGACAGACTTTATGATACAGCACGCACGTGCTAACTATTCGGCCATCCAACCCCCTGATTAACCAATGAAATGGTCTGTTTAATAGTACAATTTCGAGACATCCGTACGGTACGACTTGCAGAAAATAAAACCAAAAGTTAAATTAACATAAAATAGTTTAGCTTATTTAAAGTTCACCTCATGTGATACCTTGACGACCTAAAAGACGGGGCCATGCAGTGTGCTATGAGGGGCCATACTGTCTACTCTTAATTCAAATTCCAACTTTCATGGAAATTTATTAAGATTTACCTTTGGAATAAACGTTATAACGCTGTATTTCTGATTTCTAACAACATTTTTGGTATATTTTGGTTGATGTCCAGTTGCCATGCCGATATTTATGGTACGATCTTTATATTCCTTCTCTCCACAACAACTTCTGAACAGCCGACTCCAACAACTGAAAAATGAGGTTTACACCAAAATCCTTTTTTAGGAAATCTGGCCGCTGGGTACTGTTTACTTCATATGCACATATTTCCCTCTTTTGTATTGGATAATAGGCAGTTGTCAGTGGTATTTACAATTTCGTATCAAAATATCTTTAGGGCAAAATTTTTAGTTTTTCATGGAGTAGGTCACTTGAAATGAAGAACAGAATTCTGATTTGAACAGAAGAGAAATGTGTTTACAGAATTGTTTTCTAAAATAGGTGCCTTACAGTTATTAAATGACAACTCACCTTCCACACATATTCCACCAGCCCTCAGACAGGAAGTAACCAACACCTTTATGTCGCCCATAACGATTTTTACGCTCGCGCATGAGCTGGTCGTTTTCATCCATTTCAAAACTTTCACCACACATCAGGGGAATTTCATCCATAAACTCATCGTTATTAATTGTAGAATATCTGTGAATAATAACAATGACGTAATTTATAGAATATATGTGAATAATAACAAGACATTATTTGTAGAATGTACATGTAGGTAAATAATAACAATGATGTTCATTGTAGAATATCTGTGAATAATAACAATGACCTTATTTGTAGAATATCTGTGAATAATAACAATGATGTTAATTGAAGAATATCTGTGAATAAAAACAATAATGTTAATTGTAGAATATCTGTGAATAAAAACAATAATGTTAATTGTAGAATATCTGTGAATAATAACAATGATGTTAATTGTAGAATATCTGTCTGTATATAATAACAATATTATTAATCATAGAATATCTGTAAATAATAAAAGATGATCTGTAAATATGTATGTGACAACATTAAAAAATTAAACCATATCCACAAAAGTGTTATTAATGAACTTCTGTCCCTTCATTCATGTCTAGAAAAACACTATTGAAATGGTTCTTGCCTATTACCCAGGTGAACCTACTGACTCGTTCCTCAAACCAGCGGAAAATATCAAATCAAGTTTGAACAGGTGAAATTGTAACAGAAGACGATGTTTCAATGTGGGAATATAAAATTATTTGGGATCCAAGTTGAACAAACATGTACATGTAACAATGAAAAAGACAAAATGGACCAAGCAAGATCGAAAACTTAAAACTCTAATGTCAAATAGTTGATGGGTGGTGTGGAGGGTTCAAGACCTCTTTCATAAAAAACTGACACAGACTATTGTGTCTTATTTCGTGAGACACTACAAGCAAGAGACTTTTCTTAGCAAGCATGTCATAGAGTCATCCAACTACGGATTATATATAGAATACAGAGCTTGCCGAACAATTGAGAAACACAGATAAACACTTTCTAAATGTTATCTCAAAATGAGTAGTCTATGACATGCAACTGGAGATGTACACAAATGTATCAAGGCCTATATGATACATGTATATAACTTGACATGTACAATGTAAGTATTAAGGCCTACGGCATGTAACTTGACATGTACAATGTAAGTATCAAGGCCTACGACATGCAATGTATCAAGGCCTATGATACATGTATATAACTTGACACGACATGTACAATGTAAGTATGTATCAAGGCCTATGACATGTAATGTACATGTACATATAAGTACATGTATACTATTCAAAAAAAGTAGGGGATATTTGATTTTTAAGTGTTATTAAAGTCACCTAATGAAACTGACGAAGAAACAAATGACAAAATGAAATGAAGTTCACATTCATCGATTTATTCCAAATGATCGTTAGACTAAGTAAGGAACAGACTGACCATTATAAGGGTAAAATGATACCCGGGGTCAAACAGCAAAGTTACCACAGCATCACAACCAAGTCAGTAACGGGTAAATCCTCCTCTGTTTGCCAAACAAGCATTGATCCGACGTGGCATACTCCTAATGAGACGTCTAAGGTCATTTTGGTCCAGATTGTCCCATTCCTGTTGCAACGCAGCAGCAAGTTCTTGGACATTGGCAGGACGTTGTTGACGTTGACGTAACCTCTGTCCAAGCATGTCCCAGACATGCTCGATGGGGGAGAGGTCGGGTCTCAGTGCTGGCCAAGGTAATGTGGTGATGTTCTGTTGTTGGAGGTAACCTGTAACGATCCTGGCCCTGTGACATCTTGCGTTGTCATCCTGGAAGATGAAACGGCGGCCATGACGTCGTGCGAACGGCACAACATGGGCTGCCAAGATGTTGTCCCGGTAGTACTGGCCTGTAACACGCCCTGCAACAACATGTAAAGCCGTTCTTCCAGCAACAGTGATGCCTCCCCACACCATAACAGAACCACCCCCAAATCGATCATGTCTGATGACGTTAACGTCTTGGAAGCGCTCGTTTCGACGACGCCACACCCTCCTACGTCTGTCCAAAAAATCAACAGTGAACCTTGACTCATCTGAAAACATCACATTGCTCCAGCGTCGATTATCCCAGTGTTGACGATCCCTACACCAACGACGTCTTGCCTGAATGTGATGATCTCTCAAACAGGGGATCACGCGAGGACGTCGGGCGCGAAGGTGACCCCTATGCAGTCGATTCCGAATCGTCTGGCCACTCACTCTCACACCAGTATCTGTTTGAAGACGAGCGCTGATCTGATTTGCTGTGATGACACGATTTCTCAAGGCCAAGGTACGGATAAATCGATCCTGGGCTTGAGTTGTCGCCCTTGGTCGACCTGAGCGTGGTCTGTCCTGTACAGATTGTGTATCACGGTATCTGGACCATAGCCTGCTTATGACAGATTGAGAAACATTCATCGTCCGCGCCACAACCGCCTGTGTTGTGCCGATCTGTAGCATGCCAAGGGCACGTAACCTTTCATTTTGGGTAAGCCGACGCATATCAAAATTTGTTTTCTGGTCACTAAAACAATTAAACTGATGTTTCCACCCTGGAATTCAATGCCACAATGACTGTAACATTCAAAGTCAGAGTCGTGCAAATCTTGGGTTGGACCCCCATGATGATCCCAAGCATCACCTGCATTCCATGCGGTAGCTATTGGTGCGTTTGGGCGTCACATGTAACTGGAAATGTTTCTTCTGTTAGGTTCTATAGTGACTTTTTTCGTAGTCATTTGCATATTTTAGTATTATGCCCCCAAAATCAAATATCCCCTACTTTTTTTGAATAGTATAGTACTATTCAGTAATGCTTAAACAAGAGCAGATGAATACTCTCCTTTTAAGACATGGATGGTACGCACATCTAGCATTATAAAAACAAACTTGGTACCCACCGCTAGCAATATAAAAACAAACTTGGTACGCACACCTAGCATTATAAAAACAAACTTGGTACGCACATCTAGCATTATAAAAACAAACTTGGTACGCACATCTAGCATTATAAAAACAAACTTGGTACGCACTTCTAGCATTATAAAAACAAACTTGATACGCACATCTAGCATTATAAAAACAAACTTGGTACCCACCGCTAGCATTATAAAAACAAACTTCGTACCCACCGCTAGCATTATAAAAACAAACTTCGTACCCACCGCTAGCATTATAAGAACAAACTTCGTACCCACCGCTAGCATTATAAAAACAAACTTCGTACCCACCGCTAGCATTATAAAAACAAACTTGGTACCCACCGCTAGCAATATAAAAACAAACTTGGTACCCACCGCTAGCAATATAAAAACAAACTTCGTACCCACCGCTAGCATTAAAAAAACAAACTTCGTACCCACCCTTAGCATGTACATGTATATCTTAAAAATAAACATGGTACCAACCCAAAGCCTCACATGTATATTAAATCCATGAATCTGGTTGCATCACTAGGAGTAAAACCAACGAGTAAATGAATAAAAATCTATTTTGTAGAAGAGTAACAACAAACTAATGTTTATACACACTGTACACGTATGAAACAAACATGGTACCAACCTCTAACATGTATATCAAATTCATTAATCCAGTTGCATCAATAGATATAATAAACTATGGGTAAATGAAACAAACATGGTACCAACCTCTAACATATCAAACCCATTAATCCGGTTGCATCAATAGAAATAATAAACTATGGGTAAATGAAACAAACATGGTACCAACCTCTAACATATACCTGATATCAAATTCATTAATCCATTTCAGTAGATATACATAAACTATGGTTAAATTAAATGAAATGAAATTTAACGTCTGACAGGTCTGCACCGACTCGATTAATCTAGACGGAAACTATGGGTGAACTACATGTCAAGAACATCTAACGTATAAAACTGCAACAACAAACTGTATAATAATGTGTGTATAATAGTTGGGAATGTGACGACTGTATTTATATATATAATATTGATTATGTACATGTATGACCTCAATTTTAAAACAGCTTGTTGAATACCAATATAATATTAACATTGTACATACATGTATATTTGTACATAAGAGTTAAACCAGCTAGATTTAATGCTGAATATTGATTTAATAAAATAATCTAATTATAATAACCCTACTGTCAGATATTCTGTGACATTCCACCCACGCTGTCCATGAATTAATGAAATTAGTTTGATCTTTACATTGGGTCACGATGCAGGGGATTTATTTTCCTGAGGATTTTGTTCTTTTCAAAAATGAGAAACTTTTCCTGATCATTTTCAATAGCAATATTCACATGCATTCAATTCATTGATTTTCAAAATTAATTGAATATTTTTTGTCTTATTCAATTTATTTCTCGGACAACAATCAAAAAGGCTATGGTTACAGCTAGAGCAGCCAGGGGAGCACGCTGTGGCATTTTAAAAGATTTCTGGAATTTGTACATGTACATGTAAGTGCTGATTGTTCCTGTCATTTCAACAAAAATCTTGAATTTGGAATAATTTTGAAGGAGAAGTTCCATATATATTTTAGTGAATCAAAAGAGTTGATTCTGTGAGGAGTAGTAGCTGTGGGTGGGTATAACATCTACTTCAACAGTAATGGAGGTCTATTAAAATATTTTAGGTAAAACTATCTGAATAGAGAGAGAGAGAGAGAGCGAGAGTTTAAATCCCCTTGACACAAACTTGGTTATTTTGGGACAAATGTACAGTTAAATTTTATTTCAATAATATGTTTGCGTGTAGGGTTCTTTAGCTGTGGGAGTACCGGTACCCAGATATACATTTAAAACACAAGGAGATACTGTCTCAAATTCAGTGCTACTTGTATCCCCAAGGATATAAATAATCATGTCTATACAATGAGTTAAGTAACCCTTCTAAGAATTTTAGCGATCAATATTTTAAACATACATTATGCAAGAGCTAAATCTGCCTATTGCAGGTCTTTCTTTAGGCTTGAAATATTATCTAAATTATTAATCAGACATTAATTAACTTATCCAGACCATAATCAACTCTCGATGACATCAGATTTCTCTGATATTAAATAGATTAGAACAGTTCAGCCATATTTTGATTTAAGCTAAAAATGGAGGAGCGAGACTTAGCTTCGAACAGCCAGTATGATTATTGAAATTATTGCACGTGTCTTGTCAAACCTTCAAAGGCTAATATTTAATATCTTCGCTCCCAATAGAGTAATTTGAATGAAATTTTCAAATTATTCATTTTATTTACCTATTTTCGAACTATTATAGCAAGAATGGCTAGCTCTTTATCTAAATCTTACATAATGTATCTTTAAACATAATCCATTAAAGATGCATTTTCAGTTTTGAGGGGAGGGAAAAAAAACTCCCCTCGGTCGACATTCAGGTGAGTGGCAAGCGCTCGAGAGCAATCACTCGCCATAAAAAACAATGACTGCTAAACACTGTAACCCAGGTATCATTTCATTATACACCAAGTCAATAATCAACTCTCTAAACACTGTAACCCAGGTATCATTTCATACTGTGTCTGTGTATATAGCACTAATTTCTTTCACATTCATTCAATATCAAATCTTTGTTAAAAAATTAGAAAAAATCGTCTAAAATCACCAAATATCATCTAATTTGTATTTGTGTCCAGTTTAAAGCTGACTATTAAATTTTGATAATGAGTGTTCAATTTACAACTGTTTAGTTTCTCAATCACTATTAAAAAATTAACAACCCAATTGATAATGATACATTTTTGAACAGTGGTCAGGAAATTGAATACTTGTAAATTGGACACTCAAATACGATTGGCAGATAACTTAAATTTAAAAATGGATACTGGTAACCAAGAGTTTGTTTATTATTGTAACAACGGTAGCAATGACACTCAGGGAGAAAGAGAGAGAAATGGGGTTTAACGTCCACTCGACATAAACTAGGTCATTTCAGGACTAACACATGATTCAATTTTATTTCAATAATTCGCTTGCGTAGGGGTCTTTAGCAGTGGGAGGAAACCCACAAGGTTGGACAGGCGACCCTATTCCTTGTCACGTGCAACAGGGGAATCGAAACCCCGCCAGTTGACTCAATGACAGACTGTATGATACAGCGCGCGCGTGCTGACAATTCGGCCATCCACCCCCCACCCACAATGACTCAAAGCCATACTGTTCTGCAAACAAAGAGAGAGAGAAATGGGGGTTTAAGGTCCACTCGACACAAACTAGGTCATTTCTGGACTAACACATGATTCAATTTTATTTCAATAATTCGCTTGCGTAGGGGTCTTTAGCAGTGGGAAGAAACCCACAAGGTTGGACAGGCGACCCTACTCCTTGTCACACACAACCGGGGAATCAATGACAGGCGGTATGATATAGCATGCACGAGCTAACTATTCGGCCACTCAACCCCCCTTCTCCAAATGAAGTAATTTGACTCCAATTATAATAAGTATTGTGAGAACTGTCAGTCTTTTACCCAAATCTTACATAATACATCTTTAATTAAACATATATTATGACGTCACATTAATAATGATGTCATTGTAATAATCATATTAAACATATATTATACAAGAGCTAAATCTGCCTATTGCAGGTCTTTCTTTAGGCCTGAAATGTCATCTAAATTATTAGACATTAACTAACTTATCCAGGCCAATCTACTCTCGAAGACATCGCTTGCCTGAAATAATTACCGGATTTGTATCCGATTTGCTGCTTAATGCTCACTGATGATTAAATCAAAAAATGGATAATCAAGACTATGTTTTTTATCGTACTGACTTTAGTAATGATGACCGAGGCAGGGCCTAAAATTCAATGGCTAAATTCTCGGTTCAGAGTGGATCAATTTGACTGAAATTTTCAGCATATTCCCTTTACATTATCTAGTTTTTAACTATTATTGGAAGAACTGCCAGCTCTTTATCTAATCTCCCATAATGTATCTTTAAATTATTCAGATTATTCCTTTAAAACACAGATTCTATTTCGTTTCGTTTTTTATACATGTAGTTCAAAGTTTTGTTTTGTCTTTAATACACTAGGATCTGGAAGTGTTGTTATATAACCTGTGTTCTGGTTGATGTGAGGAATTAGCCAATGAAATGGTCTGTTACGTCGAGTTTTTGGCGTGCGGTGCATGAATCTGTGGGTATCCCAGTAGAAACATCAACGCTGATTAATAAATTAAAAGTCTGACGACATAAGGATCAAAAGTCGCCCTTATGGCCTCTGGCACGACATCCCACTACAATTGGTCAGATCTTCAGGTAGTTGAGGCTATTGAAGGTATAAAAAAACAAAACGAAATATAGATCTGTATTTTAATCAGATCGTACCAAACCAAATCTATTTATTTGTCACAAATAATTTAATTAATATTATATAGTCGGCGGTAACAATGAATCATTAAGCGTTTGGTCGGCGGTAACAAGTATTTGGTCGGCGGTAATTATATTACGGTCGAAAGTCATTACAATGCGGTCGGCAGTAAAAAGTATTTGTCGGCGGTAGTCGGCGGTAAAAAGTACCACCCGTTTTGCCACAGTCTCTGTTAGTGTTAAAGGACCTAAGTCCGTAACTCAAAATCCTCCAAAATCTTCGACATCGAAAACACGAATTATTGGTCAATTTAAATCAACATTGATGATGTACATGTATACTTACCGGGAAAAGATGAGCTTCTGATATCCGATATTTAAGATAAAATAATTTTTTTAACATTGGTACACGAATCGTGTACCATAATGCGCTTCAGCCCCAGTTGTATTGAGAGACTCGAGGGACAAGGCTTGACACATTGCACCAAATCAAATGGAGTTATGTAGACTAGAATAACTAGACGCTAGAAATTTACACTCGATTGAGATTGCTGACTTATTTCGCCTAACATAACTGATTTGAAATTGGACTAAAAACGGAAACCATTAAATGTAAATCAGTTTATATACATTCATATTACAGTATTATATGCGTTGCGACCCACTTTTGTGAATTTCTTGGTCCCAAATGTTAGCGATTTAGCTCCTTTAAGATTATGCTTTAAAAACATCATAAGTTAAGTGACAATCTTGATGGCAAAATTTGCGGAAAATACTTCAATATGCTGACTGTGGGGAAATCTACAATAGTTACAATAGCCTCCTACATCAATGAATGTTGTGTAAATAAATCACTATTCTTGGTCTACTCCTATAAAGATCTATCCAACCAAAAACACCACAACTGTCACCGAGTCAAGTTTGATCAGCAGCGTGTGGTTGTTCAGTCCAGGTTCATTTTACATTTCGTTTCATATCGATTTCTCGTTCCGACTTTCTTTTGAAGGTATTTTGAGAGTGTTTGTATTAAATAGCGGAAGGAATGGACAATACCTGGTACGACGGGTCACTTTTAGAGTTGGTCTGCCTAATGAAAATCCAGCAAAACTCATGAACAGCAGCCGATTGTGTCATCCATAAATGACAAATTCTATTTTTAGAATATTTGCAGGAAGTAAATAAATAATGCCCCCTATGTAAATACATTTTAAATACCTCAGAACACAAACTACTTTTATCTTAAATATATGACAGCTCAAATTAACATATACTTTTACAATTAATTTGGGTGAAAAACTTTAAAAAAAGATCACAACTCTGCTGTATTCATTTATCATGAATTTATGAATTGATATAAGGGACCTTACCTCTCCGGAACTGACTTAGAAACCGGAAGCTCTGCAGGTGTCATGGCGTTCTTGACAACATAAACAATTTTTTTAGCTGAGCAAGTTTAAGTTTAATAAAACATCCTCATATCTGCTTTTGGTGGAACAAACAAAGATGAAACCACTGGGCCACAAGGTTTGTTGCGGTCCAATAATTTACTCACTTCTGACACTGTCACTGAACATTCTTTTTTAGGGCCTTACTTCATACTTAGTTAAGTGAAGAATCAAAAACTCCCAATTCAAGACGTTGAACTGAAACTGAAAAAATAGAAAAATAATATGTAACAGGCCTTGCCTGAGTAGAGCGAAGCTGATGTGATTGTTGTCAAATAAAACCTTCATAATAAAGTTTCCCCAATTGAAAAAAGAACAAAAAGGTGTGAGGATTTTCATTGACGTCAAAATTATCTGACGTCATTTATTCGACGCGTCATAGAAATATTTCTTAGAGACCCAAAATCTCGCTTGGGCGAGATTTGGTAAGTTGACATGCGCTGACATGCGCATTGACAGACATGCGCATTGCCTGTTTTCCCCAGTGTATCCGGTTCCTGTCTGAATTTTTTTTTAATCAACAGTCTGTGGTTGACATTTTCAATTACGCTCCTGTGTTACCGGAAAAGAGCTTTGCTCAAGCACCGCGCTTCGCGCGATGCTTTAGAGCTTCGCTCTATATTAGAGCAAAATAAAATTAGTTGAAGATCTAATTAATAAAAAAAGGAAATTTCTTAAAATTAAAAATCTCAAAAGCACATATCACTTCCATCATGTAAACGTGTTTTTCATTTTATATCGACAAGTCGGACAATCCATGGGGAGAAGCACCCATATTCCAGTACAGGCATATATCCAGACTTGCTACCTTAAACTTTAAGTGTGAAGGACATAAATGCATGTGTGATAAATTAAAACAGGATGTTTTTGCATGGCGTGTAATTTTAAAAAAAGTACCAATGAATTTCGAAATTGTAGCAGCAACTGCACACGTTGGTCTTAGGCTACACGACAACAGGATTGGATCGATTTGACTCGTACACATACAGAGTCACTTCTTACCGTCAAGGGTCTCGATAACCAGATTTTAATCGCATTTTGTGAATATAATCTTGCCCGGTGCTAATCAATTTGCATACTCCTCGCAGTGTTAAATTTGATAGACCTAATCCCACTCAACACTGCCATAATGAAAGCAAATTTCTGTTCCAAGTTATGACTGATCAGTACCATAGTCTGATTAACAACCAATACCTAACTGCGTAACAATACCATTCAGGTTTAAACAGAGCTCCAAATATGTAATGTTACATCATGACTCACGAAATTTATTACGCCCAATTAACCAGTGCATAGCACAATATTGCAGAAAACGAATGTGTGACAAATGTGCAAGCAAAACAGCTATAATGTAAACAATACTGTTTGGTGACGAACAATACTTTCACCATTTTTTATACATTAAATCACTGTCCAAAGTTTTAGGGAAGACCCCAGATTAAATGAATGACTGTCATGTTGCTGTACTTTGGAAAGATTTGATTGAACAGGAAGAATAGACACACTCCCTGAATAGCTCAAGTATCAGAAGCCAATCCAGCAATGACCCGAGAGGGATTTCTCGGGCCATTGCTTCAGGAATATGATCAATTTGCTACAAAGTAGCTAACTTTATTCGTACAAATGCTAATCAAAGATTTTTCTTCTTGTATTTCTCACATGGACAATTTTATTTCCCATTTTTTTAATTAACTGTTATTACAGTTGATGATTTTCACAAACAATTTTGTTTTTCAGAATGCCAGAGATCCATTTCAATGTAATTGTTCTGTGTGTGTGAATTTCTGGAAGAATGTATTTGGAAGTTCTGTTAGTGGAATGTTTGCCTCGTATGAGACCCGATTGAGAGAGTCAAGTAATTTGGGTATTAGAATAGATGACATGATGAGAATAGGAGACAGAGTTTCAGTTCACGGAAAAACAGGTAGGCCACCGTGATTAAATTATTGGTTGGTTGGATTGGTTGGGGTCAAAACAATATCGAAATAGATAATTGAAAGTAATCTCGTCATTTGCGTTTGGATATATGAATTCTTAGCGCTTTATATATGACGATATTCTTCTTCTTCTTCTTCTTGTGAACACAAAGTTTTTGATAGAATTTATAAAATTTGTTGAGATTGTTCATTTGGGAATAAATAAGGACCCTATCGAATTTCAACATTTTTTTAATATAAATTTCCAACATGTTTTGTGTACCTCGGACAAACTCTTCTCAATGATTGTGATTTTTTCTCAATCTGACATTTGGCCACAGATCCATCAATAAATCAGCTGATTATGAACCAAACAAAGTTGATGATTTACCTGTATATAGGTGTATAGTTTACCTGTGTGTTTCCAGGTGTTACCTGTAAACGAATATCTACCTATATATGTTTACCTGTTAGTTTCCAGGTGTTGATGTTATTATTTGATTATCTATATGATTACCTGTATATGTTACCTGTATTTTTTCAGGTATTGTAAGATATGTTGGTTTTATTGACGATAATCAGGTGGCACCAAGACTTTATGTTGGCGTTAAGTTAGATGATAATGGTAAGAATAACTTTAGTGACCATTAAGGGTTGCAGGCTACCCGAACATATGTTTTAAAGCTATTGAATCAAAAATGATACAACTATAATAAAAGTCCACTTATTTTATTTTTTTTTGTTGGTGGTGGGGGGGGGGGGGGAGAACGAGGCGAATGGTCCAACATGGGGCTTTAAATCATTATTAGGTCTATCATTGAGTTAAGTGATGAGATTTCTATTCCCTGCTTGTATATGTATGTGACAAGGAGTAGAGTCACTGGCATCATGGGTTATCTCTAGGTCCTCCCGTTTCTACTCACTGTTAAAGACTCAGACGCAAGCAAATTAACGAAATAAAAATGGTCCATATGTTAGTCCTGAAATGACCTAGTTTGTGTGAAGTGCAAATCTGTGGTGTTTTGGTTTTTTTGCTTGGGTATGCACAATAAATCGCCATTCAGACCCAAATCATTCAAAATATTCTCAGAGGAGGACAGTGATGGGATTTTGCCCGTATATTCCGGACATGTCCGATGCTATTTTCCAAACGTCGTAAATTGTCCGACCAGGAATATGCCGAATCGGACATCAAGACATGGTAAATAATATTCAAAATTCGAAAATTAATATAGTGTACTGAGTGTATAACTACCACTCAACCCGATTATCGTTGATAATAGGCTGGATTGATTAGGAAATTAAGTGATCAACGTATTTATCGCTTTATACGGTCTATACACATACCTTGATTAACTACTTAATCTGTCTTGATTGGCTGACTTAATTCTTTGTCGGACAATTCATCAATTCAATCCTGAACAGAAGTCATTGCTTCTCCTTTGTCAGACTATATATCAATCCAATAAACTTAATCTATGTGATTAACCCGTGATTTCTCCATTGTCTCACATTTTAATCTCCTTGATGTCGACCGTAGACATTAGTCATATATGTCACATATCCTAATCGTATATAACACCCCAAATCAATATACATTGTGTCCGATAACCTGTCTGTGATATTTCTTCAGTGGAAGCCGAAGTTAAATAAAGCTATTTCACACACACGTAAAATGAAAGTAGAAATCTCACGAGACACGTGGAATTAAGAGGTGTAAACGTGCCGAATCTAATACGTCTGATGTCGGGAGAAAAGAATCTATTTTGATGGCATATTGTCGGATTTATGATCATATTTTGAATGGGGTTTATGTTTTTAAATAAATAAATAAATACGCTAAAAAATGTTGACGAATATTTCGATTGGAATAACGTAAGTAGTTACGGTAATTGTTTTAGACGAGAGCGCATGCTTAGAGTCGAATGAGATTTTTTAGCAGTTGCAGGTGTCACTCGCTCGTTGTATTATAGAGCGACGTTTACTACGGTTTACGGTCAAATAAATTTCGGGATGTCATTTTTTTACCTTCCGTATATAAATCGAAACAGAGTATAAGACGAATGCCGGACTTCGCTGAAAAATGTATCGACTTGTGACCCGAAAAATACGGTAATTTTGGGGGAATTGAAACCGGTACGGATGGGCAGTAGTCGGTACGCTTTCATTCTATGGTATTACGATGTCATGTAATTTTGTAGGAATATTATTGACATAAATTTGAATACCGTACGGGAATTGAATGTGAAAAATAACGAGGTGCACCTATTTTTTTTATTACGTATGAATTTGAATATTTTGTTGACACGTGATTCTTAATTGTGGTTTGAAAACGCCTGCTTAAATAACGATAAGAGTTATGTCCCTTTATTTTCATGAAGAAAATGTCTGACAACTAAAATTTTGAAATCCCATCACTGGAGGAGGACCCCCACTTTCCCCCCTCCCTCCCAACCGAAAATACTGTGGCTGCAACTGGACTCATATTGATTGTTGTTTAAAATTCATTTCAGTAAATTCGTTAACCAATGGATTATTTGAAGGAAAGAGATATTTTTACTGTACACCTGGTCACGGGATTATGGTACCTTATTCAGAAGTAAAGCGTTTACGTCGATATGTTAAGGTTCCAAGTTTAACCGCTAATTCCATGTTTCCAAGTTGGCAGCAAGTTCGACAAGGACGTAAAGAAAGACAAGAAAAGTAAGTTTGTTTTGACTAGGCCTTTGTGAGTAAGACATTGGTCCAGGTGTTGGTAGAGAAACTTGAGGGAGATTTTCTGGCATGGTTCAGTCGTGCAGGACGGAGGATTTGGCAAGGGACAATGTATGGTCGTTCGAATGGATGAAAAAAAAAGGCCCTTGCACAATGATGTGCATATAAAAAACCTTGATAGTTGAAAGTTGAAAAAAGAGTACGTTCATAGTGCCACTGTCCAGAAAAAATTTCTCTGAATGGTATGAATGGCAAATTTAGTCAATATTTGACATACACTGCAGACCATGTATAGGATATCATCAACACAAGCCAGTGTGATCATCTTTTATTTTCACTGCAATCTTTTGATTTACCTTTTATTTAATCCAACTTAAAGATGGGTTCCCGCGTACAAACTGGGTGATTTAATGGTATATATGGACTAAAAACATATTCAAACTAATTAATTTGTCATAATTATGCATCAAATCCTTCTCAAACATTTTAATTGCGAAGGAATGCCCTGCTATTAAAATTTGATCAAACCAGGTCATGTTTACGTCACGTCTTGGAAGTCAGAGGAGAATTCATTGTATACATAAGACGATGTTGTCTTTAATAGCTTACTATTTATTACAAATATCGAATCCTAATTAAATTCTCGGATTATCCACTACCCGCGTCTTTTTCCGTCATTTTTATCTCAGAAAGTGTTGTACGTCTAACTCTTCATGGCGTTTATCAACTTGTACATCAAGCGCTCAATGTTCGCGTGTGACCTTTGACATCATGCGGGCAGAAATTCTTAATCGTCGGGCTGTTGATTAGGGGAACCCTTACATTTTTGTCCTGTATACGCTCCATGAGTAGTTTTCAGGGAATCCAGTATTTTTCTAGTAAGATTGGATATCTCTGCTTTCCATATATACCAAAGTTGCCATACTTTTATTGGAAATAATCACCCGATAAATACTTTTCTGGGAACCCATCTTTAATCCAAGGCAGGAGATTATGTCCAGGTGATACTGATTTTTTTTTTTTTTTTTTTTTTTAATTAAATGTTAAATCATGAATTTGAGTACATTTTAGGGTGGATAATTCATTGAAAATGTTAGACTTGTTACAATTGTATAAACAATGATTTGTTGTATGAAATGATATAATTCTCTGACTGTTAGAAACATATTGAACTTTCTTTATGTCCATTACAGACTCGATTCATTCTACAGGACCAGGTCATGTTCACCCCGATGTCGCGATACATCACAACGACCAGCTCAACACGCTTCCTCCTTCCACCATTCCAACGAATATCTTCCTCGTTTTACAACTGATAAAAATGATATCGCATACAAGGTAATATTAAATGATTATATTATTCCCCACCATAAATAAATATCTCCAAATATTTTGACAATTATACCACAATATTTATATATACTTAAACATACATTATACAAGAGCTAAATCTGCCAATTGCAGGTCATTCTTTAGGTCTGAAAATGTTATCTAAATTATTAATTAGACATTAATTAACTTATCCAGACTATAATAATCAACTCTCGATGGCATCGCTAGGCTGCGATATTTACTGGATTAGAACCCGGTCTGCTGCTTCTGATTAAATAAAAAAATGGATAATCGAGACTATGTTTTTATCGTACCGACTTTAGTAATGATGACCAAGGCTAGGCCCAAAATTCAATCGCTAAATACTCGCTTCAATCGCTAAATACTCGCTTCAATCGCTAAATACTCGCTTCAATCGCTAAATGCTTGCTTCTGTGTGGATCAATTTGACTGAAATTTTCAGAAAATCCCCTTTACATTATCTAGTTTTTAACTATTATAATGAGAACTGCCAGCTCTTTATCTAATCTCCAATAATGTATCTTTAAACACACATGTTTCCAATATTTCCGTTTCAGGATAAATTAAAATATCAATCTGGGAAAGAAAAACGTGAAACTCTGGAAAAACTGGATGAAGAAAAAAGTATAAGGAAAGAGAAACAAGGTTTAAAAAAGTTGTTCGGGACGGGGGAACAGGCGGAAAGATTACATGAAACACTGAAATATCTACAACGAGGCTATGAAAAAGGTGAAGAGGAGCGATTAAAGTGCCAACGCCACCATGCTTCGTACGACGTTGATCTATAAATCAAAACAGTCTGTGATATTTTTTTTGTTTAAAACATGACTGTGATTAAAGAGATGATTAATTGATTCAATTAAAACTCATATTTGCTTCCTAAATATGGTGCAACTTGATGTATAATACAGAATTTACTATAATGCCTATCTATCAATGGCTTCCATGATGCCCTAATATGTCTTTCACCTGTTTAATTATTTCTTCTTTGATTGGCAATTAGTAATTGAACATATTAACACAAGGTACAATTTTATGGATACACAATTACAGAGTTTAATACTAAGCAACGTTTCGACGAGGATATTCTCGTCTTTATCAAGTGACACTTCGATGATGATACTCTCGTCATTATCAATAGTATTAATCTCAGTAATTATGTATCCATAAAATTGTACCTTGTGTTTAGTAATAAATCATGGGAACTTCATTGATCAATACAAGGACTTAAAGAAGTAAAAACCTGTCTGATTCCGATCCAAATAAAGTGTTGAATCAGATTGATTTGATGTTAATTTTGATTAGGGATGACATAAGCTCTATATAAATGTGTTATATACCCTGGGAAAAGGTTAAACAATGGCCAATAACTTACTGGTTCTAGATGTTCTTCAAAACCCAATCTTCTTTTTTCCCCACATCATATAAATTATGCTATACATGTATATTTGTGAGAGGACACAAATTTATTTTGTAGGCTGTTTGTAAAGGCATTTGAGAAAATTTCCATTGAACTTTTCATATTGATGCATTTTTATGTTATAATGTAATTTCTATTGATATCATGTTGCTAACTACAATATTATGTTACTAATGACAATATTATGTTGCTAACGACAATGTTGCTAACATCAATATTATGTTGCTAATTACAAAATTATGCTACTAATGATAAAATATTATGTTGCTAATGCCAATTATATTGTGTTGTTAACTACAATATTATGTTGCTAAAGACAATATTATGTTGCTAACGACAATATTATGTTGTTAATTACAATATTATGCTACTGACAACAAAATGTATGTTGCTAATGCCAATATTATGTTGCTAACAACAATATTATGTTGCTAAGAACAATATTGTGTTGCTAAAGACAGAGCTATAAACCTTTATATGATTTCATTGATGTAAATACACCAATATGTGCATCGGTGCCGTTTCATAAAGCACTCGTAAGTCTTAAGCATGCATAAATTTATATTTCACTATAAAACTCTGTTGAATTTACGTACATGTAATTCTAGGTTAACCTTTGTGAAACGGGTCCAAGAATTTATAATTAATAGATATCTGTGATAATTAATTTATAAATAAACCACTGTGATAAGATATTGGTTGTATTCTTTTATACCAGTCCACACATTCTACATATATGTTCGAAAAGGGGACATAACTTGATTTTCATTCTGTCCTTCGGATCAGGTCAATTGTGTGTCATAGCAGTAAAATAGGTCAGTAAATCAGTTGAGTATTCATCAATAAATCAGGTCACTTAAGTGGGTGTGCATCAGTAAATCAGGACAAATGTGGTGTCTCATCTGCAAAGTGGGTCAAACGGTGTGTACCATCAGTAAATCAGGTAAAAAGAGGTGTTCCATGAGTAAATCAGGTCCACAGAGTTCCCTACGATTCAGTCAAATCAAATGGGGTGTACCATCAGTAAATCAGATCAAATGGGGTGTACCATCAGTAAATCAGATCAAATGGGGTGTACCATCAGTAAATCAGATCAAATGGGTGTACCATGGCTATCAGTAAATCGGATCAAATGGAGTGTACTATCAGTTAATTTGGATCAAATGGGGTGTACCGTCTGTAAATTGGAGCAAATAGGGGAATACCACCAGTAAATCGGAGCAAAGGGGGTGCACCAACAGTAAATCAGAGCAAATGGGGTGTACCATCAGTAAATCGGAACAAATGAGGTGTACCATCAGTAAATCGGATCAAATGTGGTGTACCATCAGTAAATCAGAGCAAATGGGGTGTACCATCAGTAAAGGGGGTGCACCAACAGTAAATGGAGTGTACCATCAGTAAATCGGATCAAATGGAGTGTACCATCAGTAAATCAGATCAAATGGGGCGTACCATCAGTAAATCAGATCAAACAGGGTGTACCATCAGTAAATCCAATCAAATGTGGCGTACCGTCAGTAAATCAGATCAAATGGGGCGTACCATCATTAAATCGGATCAAATGGAGTGCACCATCATTAAATCGGATCAAATGGGGTGTACCATCAGTAAATCAGAGCAAATGGGGTGTACCACCAGTAAATCGGATCAAATGGGGCGTACCATCAGTAAATCGGATCAAATGGGGCGTACCATAAGTAAATCGGATCAAATGGGGTGTACCATCAGTAAATCGGATCAAATGGAGTGTACCATCAGTAAATCAGATCAAATGAGGTGTACCATCAGTAAATCAGATCAAATGGGGTGTACCATCAGTAAATCAGATCAAATGGTGTGTACCATCAGTAAATCAGATCAAATGAGGTGTACCATCAGTAAATCAGATCAAATGGGGTGTACCATCAGTAAATCGGATCAAATGGGGTGTACCATCAGTAAATCGGATCAAATGGAGTGTACTATCAGTAAATCAGATCAAATGGAGTGTACCATCAGTAAATCAGATCAAATGAGGTATACCATCAGTAATTATCAGTTCCATAAATAGAGTTCCCCATCATTAAATGGGCTGTAGCATCATTAAGTTGGGACAATTTACCATTAGTAAATATGGGCGAGTGGGGATCTTGAGTTCATCGGTAAATTCGATCGAGTGGGGTGTTTCTGTATCACTAGGTGTCTGACTATGTCAGTAGTGTCAATAGACCTTATTCACAAGGAGGGGATCACGGTGGCTAAGTGGGTAAGGCGCTGGCTCGCTAGCCTGGAGGTCGGGTGTTCGATCCCTGCATTGGCCGAGAAAGTTCATCCAGATTTTCCGGCGTGGTTTCCCCTTGTCAGTGATGCAGGACGGAGGGCCTGACAAAGACAGCTGTCTAGTCATTCGGATGAGACGAAAAACCGAGGTCCCGTGTACACATTGGCGTGCACGTAAAAGATCCCTTGACAGTTGGAATTCGATATAAGAGTAGGCCGTAGTGCCGCTGTCCGGGCAAAATTTCCCTCATAGCACACTGTATGGCGTATGCCCGTCTTCATTAGCTCAGTTCGGAGCAAAACAGTAGGACGTTAAACCCCATTTCATTTCATTTATTCACAAGGATCAATCAGGATGAAAATTATATTACACCTGACCTGTTTGTGAACTGCCCTCATCATAACAACTATTAGTGTGATATTGAACATGTATGTATTTGCTGTTGTTGCCAGGTGATATAATCTACCTGAAACTAACGCCCCACCTCATCCTAACAGATCATATCATTAAAGTGTGTTTTATCCTACCTGATGACAGACAGGTGATATAATTATCTACCTGAGACTAACGCTCCCAACCCCCATCCTAACAGATCAAGAAAATATAATTAAAGTGTGTTTTATTCTACCTGATGACAGACAGGTGATATCATTACCTGAGACTAAAGCCCCCCCCCCCTCGATCCTAACTGATCAAGAGAATATAATTAAAGTGTGTTTTATCCTACCTGATCACAGACAGGTGATATCATCTACCTGATGATGACAGACATGTTGTGACAATAAAAGATGGTAGGATGTCGTTAATATATTGAGATAAGATAACAACAAGTCAACAGATGCTTAAAGATATAATAAAGTGATCAGCTACTTTCATTTTAAATAGACAATAAAGGAAAACTGTACATAAAACAACAAGACAAAACAAACAAACAATAGACCATTATAAATGCACAAAATATATATCCGATTAGTCTATATATAATTGAATCAGAAAATAATTAACATATACTATTCAAAAAAAGTAGGGGATATTTGATTTTTAAGTGTTATTAAAGTCACCTAATGAAACTGACGAAGAAACAAATGACAAAATGAAATGAAGTTCACATTCATCGATTTATTCCAAATAATCGTTAGACTAAGTAAGGCACAGACTGACCATTATAAGGGTAAAATGATACCCGGGGTCAAACAGCAAAGTTACCAGAGCATCAAAACCAAGTCAGTAACGGGTAAATCCTCCTCTGTTTGCCAAACAAGCATTGATCCGACGTGGCATACTCCTAATGAGACGTCTAAGGTCATTTTGGTCCAGATTGTCCCATTCCTGTTGCAACGCAGCAGCAAGTTCTTGGACATTGGCAGGACGTTGTTGACGTTGACGTAACCTCTGTCCAAGCATGTCCCAGACATGCTCGATGGGGGAGAGGTCGGGACTCAGTGCTGGCCAAGGTAATGTGGTGATGTTCTGTTGTTGGAGGTAACCTGTAACGATCCTGGCCCTGTGACATCTTGCGTTGTCATCCTGGAAGATGAAACGGCGGCCATGACGTCGTGCGAACGACACAACATGGACTGCCAAGATGTTGTCCCGGTAGTACTGGCCTGTAACACGCCCTGCAACAACATGTAAAGCCGTTCTTCCAGCAACAGTGATGCCTCCCCACACCATAACAGAACCACCCCCAAATCGATCATGTCTGATGACGTTAACGTCTTGGAAGCGCTCGTTTCGACGACGCCACACCCTCCTACGTCTGTCCAAAAAATCAACAGTGAACCTTGACTCATCTGAAAACATCACATTGCTCCAGCGTCGATTATCCCAGTGTTGACGATCCCTACACCAACGACGTCTTGCCTGAATGTGATGATCTCTCAAACAAGGGATCACGCGAGGACGTCGGGCGCGAAGGTGACCCCTATGCAGTCGATTCCGAATCGTCTGGCCACTCACTCTCACAACAGTGTCTGTTTGAAGACGAGCGCTGATCTGATTTGCTGTGATGACACGATTTCTCAAGGCCAAGGTACGGATAAATCGTTCCTGGGCTTGAGTTGTCGCCCTTGGTCGACCTGAGCGTGGTCTGTCCTGTACAGATTGTGTATCACGGTATCTGGACCATAGCCTGCTTATGACAGACTGAGAAACATTCATCGTCCGCACCACAACCGCCTGTGTTGTGCCGATCTGTAGCATGCCGAGGGCACGTAACCTTTCATTTTGGGTAAGCCGACGCATATCAAAATTTGTTTTCTGGTCACTAAAACAATTAAACTGATGTTTCCACCCTGGAATTCAATGCCACAATGACTGTAACATTCAAAGTCAGAGTCGTGCAAATCTTGGGTTGGACCCCCATGATGATCCCAAGCATCACCTGCATTCCATGCGGTAGGTTCTATAGTGACTTTTTTCGTAGTCATTTGCATATTTTAGTATTATGCCCCCAAAATCAAGTATCCCCTACTTTTTTTGAATAGTATATTTTAAAAAAAAGTATCTGTGCTCAGAGGAGACAACGTTTAGATGTCCTAGCTATCTCGTATTCTATTTGATCCATTCTTTAAAAAAAAATTATTCTGTGGCTTTTTGAATCAAGGGACGGGAACAAACAGAACAAAATACTATAAATATGTATGTGATTTAATATAAGTTTTTTCAATTTTTATGCCAACCATAATACAGTCAGTTATTGTGTGGACCTCGTTTATGATGTGATCAGTCACAAATGATCTGACAAAAAAAAAAAAAAAAATCAAAACGAAACTATTCGACACGCCCACCTATTAAAAATACGATTAATATTCTGTAGTCTATCCGTCTTATTTTTACTACCACTCTGATTCCAACACCAATCCGTAAAATATAAAAAACCGATCGCAAGAAAAAAAAATCATTCTAATGCTTTCAGTTAATAAAACGAAATTTTGAAATTATTTTGTAAAAATTCAAAACCAATGATAATGTTCTGAGAATTTTCAGATTCTATCTTGAGATTTTAAAGATTTTTATGCTCCGGAGCTTAAACCTGTTTGAACCGGAAGTTCATAATGCTGAGTTGTTGACTTATTTTGTAATAATTATATTGAGCAATTTCTGCAAATTTAGTGACGAAAGTATTTAGAACAGTTTCAACATTTCCACAAAATGTCGTACAATTACGGACAGCAGTATCAACAACGGGCACCTGCCCAAGGCGGTACAGATCCAAATTTTTTAATGGGAATATTTCAAAGGTACGTAAAATAACACTACGTGTAGCGCCGTACCCGTACGTTTCCAATTCAAATTCAATTTCTTTCAAATTCAGTTGCTTATCAATAATCAATGCAGTGATCGAGACAGAATCCAACAGTATCTAGCTTCGTAATTTGACATTATTTATACAGTACGGTACCAACTGCAGTATCATAACAAGTGTAGACCATTCTCAATCTGATTAAACATATAATATCTAACAGTCATTGCCTGAGTAGAGCGAAGCTGATTATTGTCAAATATAAAACCTTCATAATTAATTTTCTCAACAAGTGATACAAAAAATGTTAAATAATTTAGTTTTTCCAAATTGATTTTCATTTAGATCTAAATTGTATACATTAATTTTGTTTTTTAAAAAAGAACAAAAAAGTGTGAGAATTATTTTCATTGACGTCAAAAATATGTGACGTCATTGATTAGACGCGTCATAGAAATAATTCTATGAGGCGCGTAATCTCGCTTGGGCGAGATTTGGTAAGTTGACATGCGCATTACCTGTTTTGCCCAGTGTATCCGGTTCCGGTCTGAATTTTTTTTTATTCAACAATCTGTGGGTGACAATTTCAGTTACGCTCCTGTGTTACCGGAAAAGAGCTTTGCTCAAGCACCGCGCTACGCGCGATGCTGTAGAGCTTCGCTCTATATTATACAAGAGATAAATCTGCCTATTTCAGGTTTTTTTTTAGGCCTGAAATGTTATCTAAATTATTAATTAGACATTAATTAACTTATCCAGACCATAATCAACTCTTGATGTCAATGCTAGCCTGCGATATTTATTGGATTAGGTTCTGATTTCTAATTTTCTTGTGTTCTCTTATCTAATGACATTCAATTACTTTATTGATAATTGAATTGTCAGGTATCCTCTTACAGTCCCTTATATCAACTTTTGGTCTTCGAAGGAATTATTTGTGAGCAGAAATTCGGCCGTATATCTGTTATCACTCATCACATCAGTCAGTTAATGAGTTATATAGAGAGATGACTCGTGTTTTCCCTTGGCGTTTGTCACTTCCGACTCAGGAAACCTGTATTACTCAGCTATCGTAGCAATGATCTCTGTGTTGAAATTATATTTGGAATGTGTTTAACCAGCTCTATCACATATGTGATAATGACTGGCACCAATATTGTCCTTTAAGAATTGCAAGTACAAGTTTATGGTTCGTTGGTTCCTGGAGTTTTACGTCCACTTCCACCGAGGGTGATATTGTAGACCAGTGTTCCTAAGAAACTTGCGAGAGGAAGTCATAAAAATAGGCTTGATCAAGTTTTGTTTGGGTAAGACAAAGTGTCGTTGTACAATGTAGGGAAGCGCCCAAGGTGAATCTCATCCAAAGGAGAAAGTCCGGGGTAGGTCGTGGGGGGAGGAGGGGGGAGAGTTTATGATGAAGTGAAAAAGTTATCAGAGTCACACGAAAAGTTATTTATTGCCGACAGCCCTCGTTGTTGTCCTGGCCGCTACTCTTGTCATCGTAAGACATGTAAGCTAATCATGTATTTATTTCTAGAGTTGACAAAGACAGAAGTGGCCAGATATCGGCAAAAGAATTAGGCGAGGCATTGTCTAACGGTAAGATGTCACCTGACTCCAACCTACTTCCCCTTAGTTTCACACCCTGAATAATAATCTTGTTGGATTGGCAATTCATGTTGATGGTTACACATGTATCAAGGTACATTTACAGTCCTAGAAATAACGGTTTTACATGTATATGTACCTGACAAAATGTCACAGACCAATGAAATAGTACCTGACATTTTCAAGTTAGTGCTGAACCTGTATTAATAATATCAATAAAAAAGACAAATCAGTGCTGGACAAAATGACAGACACCAGAGGTTTAGTGCCTGACAAAGTCTGAATCTGTGCCTGACATTGTCAGTGACAGGTGCCTTATTTCCAGGCTTGTTAGCAATTCCATTTTTCATGTAAATGAAAAAGATTCCATAATTAAAATAAAAACTTTCAGATTATTGGGGATGGGAAGAAAGGATATCTAACCGAAGATGAATCACAATCCAACAAAATTATTTATTCACAAATCTCCAAGACTACAAAACTATTTCTGTACTTTGTGAGAAGTTTTATTCGATAAGTTTAATATGAAAAAGTCTTGAACCGTTTCAGTTCGAAGTCATATATATATGTACTTTTACATGTATAAAGCTATAATGGGTCTGGTATTTTATTGGAAAAGGCAGCGTCAATTTAATACAGCCCAACAATGAAATGAAATGAAAAGGGGTTTAACATCCTACTGTTCTGCTCCGAACTGGGCTAATGAACTTATGAAGACAGGAATACGCCATACAGTGTGTTATGAGGGAAATTTTTGCCCAGACATCGTCACTACGGCCTGCTCTTATATTCAATTCCAACTGTCGAGGGATCTTTTACATGCAAGCCAATGTGTACATGGGACCTTTGTTTTCCGTCCCATCCGAACGACTAGACAGCTGTCCTTTTCAGGCCCTCCATCCTGCATCACTGACAACTAGGAACCGCGACGGAAAATCTGGATGAACTTTCTCAGCCAGTGCAGGGATCGAACACCCGACCTCCAGGCTAGTGAGCCAGCGTCTTACCCACTTAGCCACTGTGACCCCCACCCCCAACAATGAAACCTGTACATGTGTGTAATAATCCTCAGTGAGTTTTAAACACTAGCTACACATGTACAGCTTTAATGGATAGGGGGGTTGGATGGCCGAATGTTTAGCATGTGCGTGCTGTATCATAAGGCCTGTCATTGAGTCAACTGGCGTGGTTTCGAATCCCCGGTTGTACGTGGCAAGGAGTAGGGTCGCCTGTCCAGCCTCGTGGCTTTTCTCCAGGTCCTCCGGTTTCCTCCCACTGCTAAAGACCCCTACACGCAAGCGAATTATTGAAATAAAATTAAACCATATGTTAGTCCCAAAATGACCTAGTTTGTCTCTCTCTCTCTCTCTTTAATGGATAATTTAAAATTTGCTCCAATTTAAATTATGCACATGGACATTTCGATCCAATCAACCATCTTCATTAGCCCAGTCGGAGCAGAACAGTAGGACGTTAAACCCCATTTAATTTCATTTCGATTCAATCAGAATTTGTTATGTGAAACAAAATTCTTATTTTTGCCCCATGCTGTGATCAGAGCATATCAATTACATGTACTTGATTTCAGATTGAGTAAATTATTTGTTTTTATAATTTTATGAGTAAAACATAGTATTGAGTACCGAGATAGTTTTGTATCCAAGGGGAGATAATTTATTTATAAAAGCATGTGATTATTTGTTTGTTTGTTTGTTTCAACATCAGGATTGATAAAGATAGAAGTGGTTCGATATCAGCTGTAGAACTTGGACAAGCTTTGTCCAATGGTAAGATCTTCTTCTCTCTTTGGCAGTCAGTAATGGAACATGTTGGGTGGCCCAGAAAGAAACAAGGTCTTGTTCATCCGGGTGACCCAGAATAAACATCATGTTCACCCGGGTGGCCCAGAATAAACAAGGTCATGGTTACCAGGGTTACCCAGAATAAACAAGATTATGTTCACCCGGGTGACCCAGAATAAACAAGGTCATGTTCAATCAGGTGGCCCAGAATAAACAAGATCATGTTCACCCGGGTGACGCGGAATAAACAAGGTCATGTTCACCTGGGTGACCCAGAATAAACAAGGTTATGTTCAACCGGGTGGACCAGAATAAACAAGGTCATGTTTACCCGGGTGACACAGAATAAACAAGGTTATGTTCACCCGGTATTGCCCAGAATAAACAAGTACACTATTTAATGTGGAATAATTCAAAAAGTATATTATATCTACATGTATATCATAGAATGGTTGAAAACTTCACTCCAATTGTAGGTCCGTCTCTCAAATACATGTGGTGTTATCATCGTACACGTTTTTAAAAAAAGAATGTTGAATTATGTTTTGCGAGGCTGACCCTCAACTCATATTATGTTGATATTATTTGAGCGATAGACCTACAATTTGAAGTGTAGTTGTCAAACATCTATTAATTCTAGTGTCTCACACAGACCTGTTCATGTACATGTATGTTACACAGCAATATGATAGACATTGTACATGTACAGGTATGTCATAACAAAGCAGCACAATACACATAGCATTATGTTACTAGTCTGGAGACTCAGCGGGGGGGGGGGGGGTCCATCAAATGGGCACAAAACCAGACCCAACTTTTCTCGAGTGAAATTTTGCGTAGAATACGATGCCGAGTGGTAATCAGTCTGCGGTTAGTGCGTTTTCGAGATATTCAGGGTCAAAGGTCAAATGGTTCATTTGCACTGAAAGTGAACGCGCGGTCATTCTTGTATCATGAAAATAAGCTGAAAATGATCGAAAGTAATCACACTTTCAATAAAAATGTAAACTTGCTAAATTCACCTTTGTTCTTTGTGACCCCAGAGGTCAAAAGGTCACATTTTCCGTTTTAGCACCAGGAAGATTTAAAGTAATAAATGTCAGCGTTGTATTCTACGCAAAATTATACCCTAGAAAAGTTGGGTCTGGTTTTGTGCCCATTTCATGGACCCCCCCCCCCGCGCGCTGAGCCTCTGGTCTATACAGCACAGCTGCAACACAATAGCATAATGTACAGCACAGCTGCAGCATGATGTTACGACACAGCAGCACCTATTTAATATAATGATTAGGTGACATGTTCGTTAGTATAATACAGTATACTTTTATCAATGACATTAATTATTCTATAAACTACATAATTCTTGTTGATAGTTTTCAGAGGTGATATGATTTACTTGTGAAACTATCCAATTATTATTTATGTTCTGTGTCCTGTCACTTAATAATTTACTTGCTTTTTTGAAACAATGCGATTCATTGGCCCAGAAAGTTCATCCAGATTTTCTGGCGTAGTTCCCCCTTGTCAGTGATGCAGGATGGAGGGCCCGACAAGGACAGCTGTCTAGTCGTTTGGATGGCGTGCATGTAAAAGATCAATTGACAGTTGGAATGCGATATAAGAGTAGTCCCTAGTGCTGCTGTCTGGGCACAATTGTCGTCATAGCACACTGTATGGCGTATGCCTGTCCTCATTATATATTAGCCCAGTTCGGAGCAAAACGACGTTAAACCCCATTCCATTTTTTCATTTTGAAACTGTGCGATTATTGATAATTTATTTGGGTCATGTTTACCATTTGTTATTTTAAAAAAACAAAAACGAATTGTAATCATGAAACTAAAATAAGATAATCCCTGTCCATAGAAATCAGGGGTGGGTGGATGGCTGAATGGTTAGCGTGCGCACACTGTATCATAAAGTCTGTCATTGAGTCGACTGGCGTGGTTTTGAATCCCTGCTTGTACGTGACAAGGAGTAGGGTTGCCTGTCCAACCTCGTGGGTTTTCTCCGGGTCCTCCAGTTTCCTCCCACTGCTAAAGACCCCTATGCGCAAGCGAATTATTGAAATAAGATTAAAACATATCTTAGTCCCGAAATGACCTAGTTTGTGTCGAGTGGCTGTTAAACCCCATTTCTCTCTCTCTCTCTCTCCATAGAAAACATTCTAGACAAAAAAATATTGTAGTATGCTTAGCATACTTGATTTTCATCCTGGTACTGATACATGAAGATTATAGGATTATTTCTAAATCAATTTTCCTATGATTAGCTTTATAATATACAATATCTGTATGAGTATTACCAGTATGGTCTTCCTATAAAAATTCTTTACAGTCCTGAGCTCAATTTATGTCTCAAAATAACTGATGTAAAATCATTTCCTATCCAACCCCGTGGGTTTTCTACGGGTCCTCCAGTTTCCTCCCACTGCTAAAAACCCCGACATGTATGGGGGTGGTGGATGGCTTAGCGGTTAGCACGTGCGCGCTGTATCATTAAGTCTGTCATTGAGTCAACTGGCGTGGTTTTGAATCCCCGGTTGTACGTGACAAGGAGTAGGGTCGCCTGTCCAACCTCATGGGTTTTCTCCGGGTCCTCTGGTTTCCTCCCACTGCTAAAGACCCCTACGCGCAAGCGAATTATAGAAATAAAATTGAACTAAGTGTTAGTCCCGAAATGACCTAGTTTGTGTCGAGTGGACGTTAAACCCCATTTCTCTCTCTCCCTACATGTATGTGCAAGTGAATTATTGAAATAAAATTGAACCATATGTTAGTCCCAAAATAACCTAGTTTGTGTCAAGTGGAGGTTAAACTCTCTCTCTCTCTCTCTCTCTCTCTCTTTCTCTCTCTCTCTCTCTCTCATTTACAACCCATTATTGATACCAGTGGTGAGTTTATCAGTTTTTGTAGCCAGCCTAGGCAAGGTTACGGGTAATATAAATGTCAAAAATAATTAGAGGGAATTTTTACCACAATGTTATCCTTGATCTGAAAGTAGGTTATTAATTCTATTACAGCTTATAAATTACATGTAATTAATGATAATTAATAACAGAGAGAGAGAGAGAGAATGGGCTTTAACATACATGTACTACATTTCGGTACTAACATATGGTTCAATTTTATTTCAATAATTCACTTGCTTGTAGGGGTCTTTAACAGTGGGAGGAAACCAGAAGACCGGGAGAAAACCAATGAGGTAGGACAGGCAATCCTACTCATGCACAAGCAGGAACCAGGTCACTAACGTTCACTCATTAAACCAATCGACCTCCCAACCCCGCATAATTACTAATAAGTTTATATATATATATAGAGAGAGAAAATTATTACATTATAGTCATTATACAACACTAATTGTATTTAAGGTGGGTTTTTTTATCATTTATCAGTCAGTGTTAGGCTGAAATATAGTCATATGGTCAGTTAGTTCCCAGCCTGTCAGGTCTGGGGCCATAAAACCAAATTTTGTTTAACTGGAGTTTTGCACTCTTAATTTTAATTTTTGTTACACCAAAACACTAAATTAAAATTATAGGTATTCAAACATTGTATTGAAAACATAGTTTAAGTTACAAATTGATGGGTTTTATCCTAATCTTAGTATGAAGATGTACATGTGATTTATAAAAAGAAATTGAAAGTGGAAAACTGACCGAAAAATGTTTCAGTGCTTTGTATTTTTACTGTAGATACATGTGGATATCAATCATGATGAGTAGATACATGTGAATATCAATCATCATGATGAGTAGATACATGTGGATATCAATCATCATGATAAACAGATAGATGTGGATATAATGAGTAGATATATGTTCATGTGAATATTAATCATCATGATGAGTAGATACATGTGAATATCTAACATCATGAATAGATACATGTGAATATCTAACATCATGAATAGATACATGTGAATATCTAACATCATGAATAGATACATGTGAATATCAATCATGATGATGAGAAGATACATGTGAATATCAATCATGATGATGAGTAGATACATGTGAATATAATTCATCATGATGAGAAGATACATGTGAATATCAATCATCATGATGAATAGATACATGTAAATATCAATCATCATGATGAATAGATACATGTAAATATCAATCATGATGATGAGAAGATACATGTGAATATCAATCATGATGATGAGAAGATACATGTGAATATCATTCATCATGATGAGAAGATACATGTGAATATCAATCATGATGATAAGATACATGTGAATATCAGTCATCATGATGAATAGATACATGTAAATATCAATCATGATGAATAGAATCTGGTTGTACTATATAAACACATGTTCATGTATAGTTTAAAATTTGAATCTTCAAAAGATTTTTAAATAAAAGATGTATAATATATGCATTACAGGAACATGGACTCCATTTAATCCTGAAACAGTGAGACTTATGATTGGTAAGTTGAGTTAAGTTTATTATGTTAGCTGTGTTAAGTTAGGGTAAATAAGTTAGGGGTCAATTTGTTAAGTTTGAGTTAGATTTGTTTATTTTTAATTTGTTAAGTTTGAGTTAGATTTGTTAATTTTAAGTTTGAGTTGGACTTGTTAGGTTTTTGAGTTAAATTTGTTAAGATAGCCGACTGATGATTAGTAAATTGAGTTAAATTTGTTGACAAGGTACAGATAACTGAGATCAGACCTGGAGTTCACAAAGCATTCACAAAGAATTCACTCAAAATTGTTCACCTTATTTTAACTAAAATATATCCCTTTTTGGTTGTTTGAATGTATCAAATACATCAATAAGAAACTATGTGCAAAGTTTTGTGTTTCTGGATCAAAATTATTTGTAATAAACAGTGACTGAAAGTTGAGTAAATTCTCAACTTAAGTCTTGAGAATGCTTTGTGAACTCGGGGCTCGGTTTCTTATGTACTGTCAATCTCAACAAAGTTTTACTAAATATACACAAATTTCAAAACAATGTACTTTTTATGATTTATTATTGTCCAAAACCTTGTTATTATCAAGTACGAACAATCATTAAGTACCGTAGAGTCAAAATGTCGTCAGGCTGAGTCCAAATTTGTGTAGAGTCTGTAAGGTTGCGGGACCGAAGCGCTGTGTTATTATTTGCCGATTCTTATCCCCTGTAGGACGTTTCATTTCGTTTCCACCCTCATCCCGTTCATTTTCTATTTTAGGTATGTTTGATCGAGATAATTCAGGCACTATCAATTTCCAGGAATTTTCATCACTATGGAAATATGTTACTGATTGGCAGGGTTGTTTCCGTGGTTACGATAGAGATAACTCTGGTTCGATTGATAAAAATGAATTAAAAACTGCTTTGACAAGTTTTGGTGAGTGATATATGTTGATTTAATTATTTTTAGAAAATATTATACATACATTATGCTAGAGCTAAATCTTCCTATTCCAGGTCTTTCTTTAGATCTGAAATGTTTTCTAAATTATTAATTAGACATTTATTAAAATTAACTTATCCAGACCATAATCAACCCTCGATATGATCGCTAGCCTACGATATGTACTGGATTTCAATACATTTTTTGATGGATGATTTAACGTCAATAGATAATCGAGACTTTGTTTTTTATTGTACCAACTTTATTAATGATGATTGAGGCGAGACCAAAAATTCAATCGCTTATATCCCGGTTCGGAGTGGAGCAAATGGTGACAAAACCAGACCCAACTTTTCTACAGTAAAATTTTGTATAGAACACGATGCCGAGTAGTAATCAGTCCGCCGTTGGGGCATTTTCGAGATATTCGGGGTCAAAAGTCAAATGAGGTCATTGGACTGAAAGTTTTGTGCCCATTTGATGGCCCCCCCCCCCCCCCACTGAACCTCTGGTCTAATTGACATGTTCAAGTAGCTAACAGAAAGGTGGAAATGTTGGATTGTCTCCCCTCCTTTATTTACTGCTGACAACCAATCCAACACTACATTATCTATATTCTATAGTCAGATATAAATAATGATTGTTTCTCAGGATTGTGGGTTATATGTTATATTAGGGTTTACCGCCAATCTTATTAAAACACAGATCATATTTCGTTTCGTTTTTATTATAGTTCAAAATTTTGTTTTACTTGTCTTTACTACACTAGGATCTGGAAGAGTTGTTATCATTATCGTGTTCTGAATGATGTGAGCTATTAACCAATGAAACGGTCTGTTACGGCGAGCTTTAGGTTTGTTTTGCACGGAACTGTGGGTAATGCTGATTGATTAGTCTGACGTCATAGGGCCAAAAGCAGCTCGTATGACCTCTGACGCGACCTATCGCTACAACCGGTCAGATCTTCATGTAGTGTAGGCCATCGAAAGTATAAGAATAACGAAACGAAATATAGATCTGTGTTTTAATGAGATTAGGGTTAGCGCTAGCACTGTTTACATCTCATGGGCCTTAATAATTAGATCTAACCCATTTTCTACCCACTGGGCTATACATGTAGATTTATTTCATGGACTTTGTTTTGTTTTGTCTACAATGTTACCATAGGTGGAAGCAAACACTAAGCCACTCTAAATTACAAAATTTTGAAGAAAATGACTCCTAAAATGTTTTCCTTTCCCAGTGATCATTTTATTACTTCATTATATGTTGTTATATATGAAGCAACGTTGTTACATATGAAGCAACGTTACTACATATGTTTAAGGTAGGGATCACGTGGGTAAGATGCTGTCTCGCTAGCCTGGAGGTCGGGTGTTCGATCCCTGCATTGGCCGAGAAAGTTCATCCAGATTTTCCGGCAGGGTTTCCCCTTGTCAGAGATGCAGAACGGAGGGCCTGACAAGGACAGCTGTCTAGTCGTTTGGATGGGACGATAAACCAGGGTCATGTGTACACATTGGCATGCACGTAAAAGATCCCTTGACAGTTGAAATTCGATATAAGAGTAGGCCGTAGTGCCGCTGTCCAGGCAAAATTTCCCTCATAGCACACTGTATGGCGTATGCCCGTCTTCATTAGCCCAGTTCGGAGCAGAACAGTAGGATGTTGAACCCCATTTCATTTCTATTCTGTTTAAGGTAGGAGACACAGTGACTAGGTGGTTAAGACGCTGGCTCGCTAGCCTGGAGGTCGGGTGTTCGATCCCTGCATTGGCTGAGAAAGTTCATCCAGAATTTCCGGCGTGGTTTCCCCTTGTCAGCGACGCAGGACGGAGGGCCTGACAAGGACAGCTGTCTAGTCGTTTGGATGGGACAATAAACTGAGGTCCTGTGTACACATTGGCGTGCACATAAAAGATCCCTTGACAGTTGGCTGTAGTGCCGCTGTCCAGGCAAAATTTCCCTCATAACACACTGTATGCAGTATGCCCGTCTTCATTAGCGCAGTTTGGAGCAGAACAGTAGGACGTTATACCCCATTTCATTTCATTTCTTTTCTGTTTAAGGTAGCTTTAATATAAGTTATGTATTATATATTGCAGGTTACAGATTATCCGATCGTTTTTACGATATATTGGTGAAGAAATTTGATCGATTAGGACGGGGAACAGTAGCTTTTGATGATTTTATTCAATGTTGTATTGTTTTACAGGTTAGTTAGGTTTCATCAATTATCACACAGAGAGGGGTAGGGATTGTATGTCGTGATTAGCTGGTTAGAGAGAGTGGTAGGAATTATGTATAATAAGGGCGTTGAGCAGTCTAAAATGCACATTTTAAAGCTAGCACTGTAATTTTTGTAGATAAGATATGACATTTTTTGTTATTTTAGGTGGTAAACTACATATTAATCACCCAAAAAATACCAATTTTATTTACCAACTACGTTCCAAATGTGGCCCAAAAGCATGATAATAAAGGGTGCCGATGACAATAAAAGTCAAATTTTCTCAGTCATGACTGCATGGATTTTCTTTGAATTTGGTATGAACAATGCTAATAGCAAGTCAAAAAAAGTCACTAGTCAATTTTTTACTATAGGCTGTGGTTTGTCTGGTATCCATGGAAACACAAAAAAAAATGATAAGTTTTCTTGGAAATTCTATTAGTACATGCTAAAACGAAATATCGATAATCACACCATTAGGTGGAAAGTAGAGGTTATAAGCTAGATTTCGATACCAAAAACGTTGGAAAATATCAACTCAAAGTATTCTAAAATCGTTCTTCATTATTTACCTTGAAAATGGGATTTTGTGATTTTGGGTTAATTCTTTGAATACGTCCACAACAAGTTTTGAAATACAACAATTCGAACGTAAAAAGTAAATATCAAATTCAGTGCACTACTGGGCCGCTGTAAAAATCATTTTATACATTCAAAAATAGCTGTCGTCGACCATCAAAAAATGAAATTCAGCCATGTTCCAATAGCGATAGATGGTAGACCTGTATAATCGCGTCTTAGAAGGAATTCCTTCTAACATCATATCTAGATAGACGTGAATGATCCAGTATGAAACTACTGCTGGAGCGGCTATGATTGTTTACAGCGGATGACGTACATGTATTGAATTTATTCTAGGTCGGGGAAACCTTCTCGTTTGCTATAGATAGTTTTTTCTTTTCGCTTGTACCTCCATTATTACACAACAAACGGTTGGACTGTTATGTGTCCTCTGGGTTATTTTACACATGGAACAAGTTTGCAAATTTCTAATAAGATTGCTGTTGAAAAGTTCTTGTAGTCCAAAATGGAAATTTCTTGTATTCTGATCGAAAAGTGACGTCGAATGAGTATAACAGTTCTTTAAATTTCCTGGTCGCTACGCGATCTCGGCCTCTAATGATTTAAGCGGTATCAAATGGACAATAACAGTCCTCTAAATTCTAAACAGTCGGTGTTTATCTCCTAAGTGTGTATCTTAGGGGATACTTGATTGAACGTTCCGGAATTAAATTATCTCCATTCCGAAAATAGTGTCAATCGAGTGAAAAGGAGAATTTCTGAGTACAACGCATGTGCCGACTGCATAAAAAATATCTCAACCAATCATGGCAGCTGAAACATATTTGTTACTTAAAATACGTCACGATTCTACTCACACCACCTCAACTGTCGGGACTGGCAGAACTGTGACAGGACTGAATTCTGTATCACTTGATTGCAATTCTGTTAATTCGAGACGTTCCGGACTGACAATCGAGCACCCCTTTAGACTACTCAACGCCCTTAAGATTACCAGGCGGAGTGTTGGTAGGGATTGCATATCATGATTAGTAGGGCGCTAGGCTCCCTCGGATATCCAGTCAAGGATTCCCTTGTCAACCATGTAGGACGGATGAATCTCAAAAGGGATGGTGTATAGTCATTCATATAGACTGAAAAACACATTCACATGCATGTGAAAGATCCCCTGGTAGTTGTAATTCGATATAAGACTAAGCTGTGGATGCTTCCTGGGCAAAATATTATATTGATTGCTTCACAAAATAAAACATAAATGTTTTATGGATTAATGTCCAATCCAACACTAGCACATTGCAGTTGGAAGGTACTGATGAATATTTGTTTTTCGTTTCAGACGTTATCGCAGTCGTTCCAAGCGTACGATACTGACCGAGATGGCTGGATCCAGATAGGATACGAACAATTCTTAACCCTCGTATTCAGCATCAAATCTTAAAACTAAATAATCAACAAGTTTATTGTTGCATCATGTTATAAACAAACGCTCAATTTAAATTGGACAACTGCTATCTTTTCACCCAATCTGATTAAAACACAGATCCTATTTCGTTTCGTTTTTATAGTTCAAACTTTCGTTTTACTTGTCTTTACTACACTTGGATCTGGAAGAGTTGTTATCATTGACGTGTTCTGAATGATGTGAGGGATTAGCCAATGAAACGGTGTGTTACGGCAAGCTTTAGACATTTTTTGCATGGAACTGTGGGTAATCCACTAGTAACATCAATACTGATTAGTTAATCAAATGTCTGACGTCATAGGGTCAAAAACTGCTCATATGAACTCTAGCGCAACCTATCGCTACAACCGGTAAGATCTTCATGTAGTGCAGACCGTCTTAAGTATAAAAAAACGAAATGAAATATAGATGTGTATTTTAATCAGATATCTTTTGACCTCTACTTTGTGTTGTATTACTTTTTATGTACTTTTGATATTAATAGCAATCAATGTTGGTCTTTTAACTTTGTGATGGTCATGTATTTCAAATATTTATTTAAAAGCAAAAATACAGATATCTTCTTGACAAAATAATAGGCACCATTAGAATTGACTGACACTATCATTTGCAGGTGTTTTTTTTTTAGATTAGATGAATGTAGATATTGTTACCCCATTTACACAGAATGACAATAAAAAATCCTGTTTTCACAGATTGACCATAATACCGCCCAATGTTCACAGATTGACCATAATATGCCCAATGTTCACAGATTGACAGTAATATGCCCCATTTTCACAGATTGACATCAATACACCCAATGTTCACAGATTGACAGTAATATGCCCCATTTTCACAGATTGACAGCAATACACCCAATGTTCACAGATTGACAGTAATATGCCCCATTTTCACAGATTGACAGCAATACACCTAATGTTCACCAATTGACAATAATACCGCCTAATGTTCGCAGGTTGACAATATTGTTACAAATATTTATTTCTATCTGTTGTACTACCAGTTCTCCATAGTTTAATTTACTCATCATTAACTACAAAATAGTTTGTCTCTTTACTTATAAAGAAAGGTTTTGAGTAATTAACAGACTAAATAATTACCCAACATCACTCAAGGGTGTAATTAACAGACTAAATAATTACCCAACATCACTCAAGGGAGTAATTAACAGACTAAATAATTACCCAACATCACTCAAGGGAGTAATTAACAGACTAAATAATTAACCAACATCACTCAATGGAAAGCAAACAATTGGAAACCCAACACTCATTATCTAATCTAGACAGATCATTTTAAACTACAAGACAGTAGGAACCCAATAGTTTTCGATGATTCTCAAGTCTAGTACCTACATGGTAATAAGTCTAGTACCTACATGGTAATAAGTCTAGTACCTACATGGTAATAAGTCTAGTACCTACATGGTAATAAGTCTAGTACCTACATGGTAATTTTAACTTACAGTCATTGGTTAGACACATGGAGTTCTACTTCTTGAACATCATACATGTATAACAACACAGTTATATGATAGCAATGACTATATTATTATACATGTATATGATTGATAACACCTCCTCTCTTTTCTCCTGGGGGGGTTGGATGGCTGAATGGTTAGCGTGCGCGCGCTGTATCATAAAGTCTGTCATTGAGTCGACTGGCGTGGTTTCGAATCCCCGGTTGTACGTGGCAAGGAGTAGGGTCGCCTGTCCAACCTCGTGGGTTTTCTCCGGGTCCTCCGGTTTCCTCCCACTGCTAAAGACCCCTACGCGCAAGCGAATTATGTAAATAAAATTAAACCATATGTTAGTCCCGAAATGACCTAGTTTGTGTCGAGTGGACGTTAAACCCCATTTCTCTCTCTCTCTTTTCTCCTGTCTCACTAGTTTTCTCCCACTGAAATATTATCAAACCATATGTTAGTCCCAAAATAACCTAGTTTATGTTGAGTGGATGTTAAACCCCATTCTCTCTCTGTCCTGGTAGTGACCAGTGAAATCTTGTAGAAACATCGTGGAATATAAAATAGTGATTGTTATCCATAAAACTATGTTGTGTATACAGGTCTGCTCTTAATCTCCATCCTCGTGGGTTTTCTGCGGCTCCTCCGGTTTCCTAACACTGCTAAAGACCCCTACGCGCAAGCAAATTATTGAAATAAAATTAAAAACCATATGTTAGTCCCGAAATGACCTGGTTTGTGTTGAGTGGACATTAAACCCTTTCTATCTCTCTCTCTATCTCTCTCTCTCTCTCTCTCTCTGTTTTTAATCAAAGATTGTAGTTGTAGGGTTTCCAGCTTCTTGTCCGCTTTGTCTAATATATAATATATTACAACTGTACTTAAAGATATAAGACAAGTATTAATATATATAATTAATTTACATTAAATAAATGGTGGATATCATTGTCATAATTATATAGATTTAAATCAATTCTAATTATTGTGTTTTATGGTAAATGAACTTATCGTTGATTTGATATAGCTACATGTATGTGTATATCTCATGGTCATCATTATAAACAGAGATAAATGGGGTTTAAAGTTCACTTAATACTAGGTCATTTTGGTACATTTTAAGACAGGGTTGGGTGACCGAATGGTCTATGGTCTGTCATTGAGTCAAGAGACATGATTTTGTTTCCGAGCTTGTACGTGACAAGGAGTAGGGTTGCTTATCCAACCTCGTGGGTTATCTCTGGGTGCTCCAGTTTACTCCCACTGCTAAAGACCCAAATGCACTAGAGAATTATTGGAATAAAATTGAACCATATGTTAGTCTTGAAATGACCTAGTTTGTGTAAAGTGGACGTTAAATCCCATTTCAATCTCTAGATGTTTTGAGACGTCTTGTCCATCTGAGTTTGTATAAGTATGAATACATGTATGTTATTATAAATAAAAAACGTAGAATATATAATTATTACATTTGTGATTGTCTAAATGAAATATTGTACAACTTGTAGTTTTGTTCCGTGCTAGGTTTTTGTTTTATAATACAGTCACAAGCGAGTTAAGTGTTAGCTTGTTGTTTTATAGCATGATTTGATAATACAGTCACAAGCAGTTAAGTGTTAGCTTGTTGTTTTATAGCATGATTTGATAATACAGTCACAAGCGAGTTAAGTGTTAGCTTGTTGTTTTATAGCATGATTTGATAATACAGTCACAAGCGATTTAAGTGTTAGCTTGTTGTTTGATAGCATGATTTGATAATACAGTCACAAGCGAGTTAAATACTTAAGATCAGATAGTGACGCATTGTTTTGATGAGGGGGGGGCTCTATTGGTCAGGATGTTTTTTTTTTTAGGGGCTGGGGTTTATTTCCCCCTCCTTTTTTTGTGGATTTTGTCAATTCGTCCTTTTGAATGTTATTTTAAGAATGATTTATATATTAAACGTAAATACTTGAAACTTTTAATAAAATATCAGCAATTTACCAAATGTTTTTATCAAGGGAGATGCCATGAATCCCTTTGCATCATGTGTTTAAGGGTTTTGTTCCCCCAAATGAGCGTACAGGTTGTATCATAAGATCTGTCATTCAGTCAACTGGCCTGGTTTTGATTTCCTGGTTGTACCTGACAAGGAGTATTGTCGCCTGTACCACCACCGCCCCCCCCAGTCAAACATTTCCCCGTACGCCTATGGCCTGTACAACCTCGTGTGTTTTCTCCGGGTCCTCTGGTTTTCTCCCACTGCTAAAGACCCTGCCACACAATGGAATTATTGAAATAAAATTGAACCATATGTTAGTCCCGAAATGACCTAGTTTGTGTCAAGTAGACCTTAAACCCCTTTTCTCTCTCGCTCCTATATAAATTTCCCCATTGACACAGCCCAAAGTTATAAATATGGAATAAAAGTCCATGTGGACTCTGTCTGACCATATTGGGTTTTTGTGCCTATCACCGACCCCTCCAAGGATATTGTTCCTCATGTATGAAAAATTGTGAATTTGCTTGAACATTTTGATTAAAGATACCATATGGGAGATTAGATAAAGTGAAAAAGAAGATAATGTAAAAGAAATTTGCTGAAAATTTCATTCAATTTGATCCACTCTGAACCGAGTATTTAAGATTGAATTTTGGGCCTAGCCTCGATCATCATTACTAAAATTAGTTCGATAAACAGCATAGTCTCAATTATCTATTTAATCGTTAAATCGTGAAGGAAAGTTATGCAGTAAATCGGCTCATAATGCACTAAAGATCGCAGGCTAGCGATGCCATCTAGAGTTGATTATGGTCTGGATAAGTAAATTAAGGTCTAATTAATAACTTAGATAACATTTCCGACCTAAAGAAAGGTCTGCAATTGGCAGATTTAGCTCTTACATAATGTATGTTTAAAATAGTGGAGAATTTAACTAGTGTGTCCACTCATTCCACCGAATGAATTCGGCTGCAATTTGGCGCCGATTGATTCGGCTATTGTGTCCACCGATTTAGTTTGTAAACAAGGCCTTAACCAGAACTGTTTTTTGTCTGAATATAATTGGGAGCCACATTGGCTCAGTGAGAATGATATTGGCTCGCTAACCTAGAGGTCCCGTGTTCGACCTCTGTGTTGGCCGAGAAAGTTCATTGGGATTTTCAGGCGTGGTTCCTTCTTGACAGTGATGCAGAACAGATGGCCAGGAAAGGGACAATGTCTAGATGTTTGGATGAGACGAAAAACAGAGCTCTCGTATTCACTTTAGCGTGCACTTAAAAGTTGGAATTCGATATAAGAGTAGGCCATAGTGCCGCTGTCCGGGCAAAATTTCCCTTCATAGCACACTGTGTGGCGTATTCCCGTCTTCATTAGCCCAGGTTAGGAGCAGAACAGCAGGACGTTAAACCCCATTTCATTTGTCTGAGGAAAATTAAAATATTATTCCAACAAACAGTAAGAATATGCCGCGAACACAAATCGATTTTCTATCTGGTTTAAATTACCATATAAATAAATATTTATTTAAAACCTGCAAATATTGATGACAGAGAATAATAAAATCAGATATATTTGTTTCATATCTACCCAATAGTCCAATATACCACTTGGGGTCTTTTAATTCATTTTAACATAAAAGTGTAAATATGGCCTATAAAACATCAAAATGGAATAAATATTGTTGACAAAATAATAAAAGCAGATATATTACATCCGATTTATTGTTTTCAATTTATATTCAGATATATAAAAATATTAACGGATTACATGAATATGCAAGTACTCTTTCATCCTATTCATGACATGTAATTTGAATAATCTTAGAAGCAATAAATTGTTTTTTACGATTGTCTTTTAAATTATTAAAAAAAGTTTAGGTAATAATTTTGATATTTACAAATTAATTGACATTGTAAAACAGAGTCGTAGAAATGAAATGAGATGGAGTTTAACGTCCTATTTTTCTACACCAACAGTAGGGACGGATCCAGAGAGGAGTTTAGGGGGTCGACCCCCACCCACCCACTCAGGCACATATAAATATTGTGTCATGATCGTGTGCTTTGTCCTTTATCACCAGATGGTTGGACGGGATGGACATCAGATAATGCTTTACATCAATGAAATTGAATCTCAATGTGATCGTTTTAATTCATAATAAAAATTGGCGTCAAACAGGGTGATGAATTTCTCTCTTTAAAAAGCTCAATTTGTATGCCAACGTAATGTGGAGACGATGGTGTATCATCCATTGTCAACTGTCAAATTTACTTAACAGGAACCTGGCCAACCCCCTCCTACAAAAATTACTAGATCCTGCCCTGAACAGGCTAATGAAAAAGGACATACGCCATGCAATGTGCTATGAGGGAAAGTTTGCCCGGACAGCTGCGTTCCAGCCTACTCTTATATCTAATTCCAGCTGAAAAGGGTTCTTGTGCGTGCACATCATCTGTGTGGGAAGTTGACATGTAGTAGTCAACGAAAATGAAATGAAATGGGGTTTAACGTTCTACAGTTCTGCTCCTAATGAAGACGCCATACAGTGTGCTATGAGGGAAGTTTTGCCCGGGCAGCGGCACTATCGCCTACTCTTATATCGCATTCCAACTGCCAAGGGATCTTTTACGTGCATTCCAATGTATACACGGGACCTCGGCATTTCGTCTCATCCGAAGGACTAGACAGCTGTACTTGTCAGGCCCTCCGTTCTGCACCACTGACAAGGGGAAAACCCCGTCGGAAAATCTGGATGAACTTTCTCGGCCAATGCAGGGATCGAACACCCGACCTCCAGGCTAGCGAGCCAGCGTCTAATCCACTTAGCCACCGTGGCTCCCCGGTAATCAACGACAGAAATGAGTTTGAACGCCAAACCTTTCTTTTTCAACCTGGCTATTGACGACGGTTTAACGCTTTATCGTATTGAGATAGCCCATGAATTTGAAAGAGGTTTAACTGTCTGGAAAGCGACGGTTGTATATCGGTTTATATCTGTTTTATCTCCAGTGACGTACACAAAGGTTATTATTCTTCATCTTCTTTCAGATTCACCAACATCAAAAACCAACATTCGTCTGTCGTTATACGGTAATCAGCTTATATCACAACAATTCCCGCCATTTTCACAAACAAAAAGAATAATTATCCTGTCACTTGTTTTGTATCTGAATTGTCTATAACAAAATATCAGTGCAATACAGTGCTAGTTTATTGGCCAGGTACGGACAACAAAAGAGATTGGGGACTGGGTAAACACTACAAACGAGATTAGGTAACGGGTAAAGTCTGCAAATGAGATTGGCAACCGGTTAAAGTCTGCAAATGAAATTGGGAACGGGGTAAAGTCTGCAAATGAGATTGGGGACTGGGTAAACACTACAAATGAGATTGGGTAAGGGCTAAGGTCTGCAAATGAGATTGGGAACCGGGTAAAGTCTGCAAATGAAATTGGGAACCGGGTAAAGTCTGCAAATGAGATTGGAAACTGGGTAGACTCTGCAAATAAGAATAGGTACCCTGTGTTCGAGAAGGATTAAGCAAATTCTACCGCTTAAACAACATCCAACACGCAACAGAACGCCTGCATGGATCTCAAAAGCCGATGGTCATGATATATTATAACACTGCCTGGGATTCATATTTGTCACCAATGGGAAATCACTTAATCATGGGAATTTTTCGGCGCGGTTCCCCCTTGTCAGTGATGTAGGACGGATAATCTGGCAAGCTACACCGTATAGTCATTTGGATGGGACGGCAAACCGGGGTCCAATGTACACATTTGCGTGCACGTAAAAGAACCTTTGACATTTGGAATTGGAAATAATAGTAGGACGTTAAATCCCATTTCATTTTCTCAAATATCCGCTACTATCATCGGCTTTGTTTAATCCTGTTTAAACATCTTATTTAAATCGTGAGCGTATAATGGGGGTTGGGGGAGGGGAGGGGCCTGATAAGTTGAATAATCTAGGACCTCGCTTCATCTAAATCTTACACTGCATTAGTAAGTGCAGGGGTAAAATGAAATGAAATGGGGTTTAACGTCCTGCTGTTTTGCTCCTAAACTGGGCTAATGAAGACGGGCATACGCCATACAGTGTGCTATGAGGGAAATTTTGCCCGGGCAGCGGCGCTACGGCCTACTCTTATATCGAATTCCAACTGCCAAGGGATCTTTTACGTGCACGCCAATTTGTACACGGGACCTCGGTTTTTCGTCCCATCCTAACGACTAGACAGCTGTCCTGCATCACTGACAAGGGGAAACCACGCCGGAAAATCTGGATGAACTTTCTCGGCCAATGCAGGGATCGAACACCCGACCTCCAGGCTAGCGAGAAGTGCAGGGGTAGCGCATAGCACTCAAAACAAATCCGACAAAACAAACATTTTGACAAGACAAACTACATAGACATTGCAAGAAAAAAAAATATATCAATTCTAATGAAAAGATCCGGTGTCTAGCTGTAAGCGTCCACTGTGATTTTAGTCCCGGGCGTGTAATGACACACGCTTCAATCAAAATGAAAAACAAATAATTTACCAGAAAGACGCAACATGTTAAGGAGAAATGAACCGACTGTCTTGTGTCGAGTAGCTGTATTGATCTGTGTGGATGAAGATAGTCACGACTCAAGTCTCCAGCTCTGTTATATTTTACCGTTATAGATGTTAAACGGTGTTACTGAGGATAAGACTGATCCAGGAATATTGTATATCTTGTCACAGAAGGTATATATATATATATATATTCTAATATTTTTTATTTTATTTTATTTATTTGGGTTGATGTATGGTTGTTAACAACTTATGAAATCTTGTTGAAATGTGGCCGTGAAATAAACTATAGTGATTGTTATTCATAAAAAAACTAAATTACTAAATATCATTTAAAGAAAGTTATTTTTGTAGTTTTATAAGTAAACTTATTCTTGTAATGATGAGCATACAGACCAGGGGTGAAGTGAAGGGCACGCAATGACACGCTTTGCGTCATGGTGTACAGTTTTTGCGAACCCATTGAGTTTTTTGGTTCAAATGCTCAAAATCAATTTTTAACGCTTTAATCATATGCTCGATCAGCGTTATTAATCATATATTATAGCTCAGGTGTACATTAACTATTACATGTCACACATAACCAAATATCGCGACATCAGTAAGAGAGACCCCTCCACAGCGTGTGTGAAATAGGTTTATTTAACGTCCGCTTCCACCGTGGTGATGTCACAAATAATTACCTGTTATATGTACAAAGTGAAATTATTTCAAGGTGATTAGGTACAGAACGAGTAGAACAATAATTAATGACTGAATGATAATTTATATAACAGGTGCTAAAAAAGAAGTGCTAATGGAGGCAAACCTAGATATTTTACAGACAGACACATACATCGTACTGGACAACACGAACATTTGATAAAACAAGACTTGAATCGAGACGAACATTTAGACAACTAAACATAGAATGTGCTATATATATATTTATATAAAGTTATTTCTGTCGGTCGGGTTGATTTATCCGGTTGAATGGCAAGGCGGCGCAACTCTTCCTTGGGGCTTGTTCGTGAGTGTGGAGCCTGTTTTTTCCTGCCTTCCATTTGGCCCGGTATGGTAGTTGATTTCATCTTCGCTTCTATTCTGTCGTTGTTTTCGTTGTTATTTGTTTCCTGACGGAAGAATACGGCACCTAGAAAGAGATGAGAGAGAAAAAAGAGAGTATCTGGCCTTACAATAATTTGGGGGTGGGGGGATTTGGGCAGTAAAATAAAAAAAAGGATAAATAAATAAATTGATGGATACATAAATAGGTAAATAGAAAAATAGACGAATAAATAAATAAATAAAAAATAATATGTCATTCTAGACGAATGATCCCGGTTGATTGTATAGATTGTAAAAGCAGTCTTTATTTTAAGGTTATATACAAATACAATAAAACATTTAATATATTTACATGGATGTACAATCAATTTATAATTTAAAAATATATATAATATAGTATAATAAATGAGACATCGATTGGGCAAGGTGGTTTGCCTCACCCTACTCCACCCTGCTTTGTTTTTTTTTATTAGGGTTGTGCTGGACGGAACGTTTCTCTCTTGGGGACAGTTTTACGGGGTGTTCCCACTTTGCCGACCGGCTTTGATGTCAAATTTTGCCGCTAATCCAGAGTTAATCCTAGAACAATGGTGTTATAAACTACAGTCCATATCTTTTTTAAGAATAAAACTGTATTGATTTTAACAAATTTAACTTTTATTAAAATAACATTAAATAATTTACACATATAAAAATGTATAGATTTTAACAAATTTAACATTTATTAAATAACATTAAATAATTTACACATATAAAAATACATTATAATTCACATATTTAACATTTATTAAATAACATTAAATAATTTACACATATAAAAATACATTATAATTCACATATTTAACTTTTATTAAATAACATTATATAAGTTATAAATAAATGCCTTACAACATAACATTCATTTTACAACCCGACTAAATAGGAAATATTTGTTCCATACTGATTTACACTTAAAGTGCCATTTAATAACTGTGTTTTCAAATGGTCAATTCTTGTATCAAGTTGTAGATATTTCTTAACTCGAGGCCTTTTGGTACCACCAAATAATATCTGTGAAATGGTGATTTCGACATATGATTGTTCTTGTTTTATTAAGTTAATGAACTTAAGTTAACGAACACTAGTGAACAGTTCTTGAGTGACTACAGAGTATAGTTTTAAGATGAATTAAAGGATTAACAGTCTGCTGGCATAGTGGGAACGGGGTAACCGTGGGAACACTGTTTTACGGCCCTGCTGTGTGTGTTTTTAATTAATTAGTTTAGCTGCCAGATGGTTTAGGCTTCTCTCTAGGAGTATCTTGTTACGTACCCCTTCCCCACCGCCACACATCGATATAAATATTGGGTTTTTGTGAGCCCACGGATGTAAAATCGTGGCTGATCTCGCCCCTTACACAGATCTAGGAATATTGTGTATTTTAATGATATTTATTGCTTAATCTTTTCTATTGTTCAATATGCATTAAAGGAGCTAAATCACTAATATTTGGGACCTAGAAATTATTGGGACAACGCATATAATAATGTAATATGAATGTATATAAATTGATTTACAGTCAATCGTTTTCAGTCAATCGTTATGTTCGGAGAAATACGTCAGAAGTCTCAATCGAATGGCAATCTCTAGCGTCTGGTTATTCCAGTCTACAATGATAGTATTTATTGCACATGTCCTCCAAGAAGAAAATGAGGCCACCGTTTGACATGACCTGTGGGATATGTCTAGCCTCGTTCTACTGTTCTACGAGTCCGTTGTTACAAATGGCGCTGAAATGCATAATGGTACACGATTCGTGTACAAATGGTAAACTGTTTATTTTGTCTTAATTATTGGATACCAGAAGCTCATCTTTTCCCGGTAAGATCACAACATCAATGTTGATTTAAACTGACAAATAATTCGAGTTTTCAATGCCGAAGGCTTTGGATGATATTGATCATGAGTTAGATACTTAGCTACTTTAAAACTAAAGTTGATTTAAATATCCCGTCTTTATTAACCAGTTCGGAGCAGAACAGTAGGACGTTAAACACCATTCCATTTCATTTTTGATTAAAATATACAATGTACGAAGATTCATGTTAAGAATCAGGCGTTGACCGGGGAAGTTCAATGTCATTTTTCGGCGTGGTTTCCCCTTGTCAGTGGTGCAGGACGGAGGGCCTGGTAAGGCCAGCTGTCTAGTCGTTCGGATGATACGAAAACCCGGGGTCCCGTTGACACATTGGTGTGCACGTAAAAGATCCATTGGCAGCACCGCCGCTGTCCGGACAAATTGTCCCTCATAGCACGATGTATGGCTTATGCCCGTCTTCATTAACCGACTCGGAGCAAATCAGCAGGACGTTAAACTCCACTTCATTTCACATTGAATATAAAAAAGGAACAGGGCCGCTGCCTAGGCAAAATTACCACTTAAGATCACATATGCAACGTATGTAAATGAACTTTGAAATTACCCTGAACTAGTCTCAAAATGAACTAAGTCTAAATTTTGTTGAAAGGTTAAAAACCATTCCAATTCACAATTTTCCCTGCGAAAGGCATTGTGTCTTTTTAAGGAAACGGGATCTAATAGGCCTTCTAATCAATCCCACGTCTCCATCCCAAGCTAGACTAAGCCTATTACGTGGCTTCTGTGACAGTTCCTTTCGATTTCAACCTAGGTGGAAGCGAAGTAAAACCCCACGCACGAACGAATGAAAAATTTCTTTACCATAAGTTATTTGCATCAATATTAATACTTCTTGAAAATATTAAAGAATTATCACAATAATTTTGTATTTATTTTAACATATTTTATTTTAACAATACATTTAACATTATTTTTTTAGATAAGCATGTAAATATATTGAAATTTTTCATTGTTTCATTACTATTGACTGTATTGTATTGTTTAATTAATTTTATGGTTTCATAATTCTATATGTGTTCCATTGTATGTGTTCCCCTGAACACGTATATGTGAAAGTGGGGCTATAACAGGAATTTAGCCTAAGTTCAAGGATAGATTCTATGTCTAAAAGCAAATGATTGGCAAATTACCATTCCATATTTGGCATGAGTGACCAAACTCATGACTAATTACATCATAATTAGCCAATAGAATTAATGGCTGTGAATCCGAGAATGTATAGGTAACAGAATGTTCTAAGAGAGGAAAGATCGTTGAGGTTCAAGAGACACCATACTGGTTTCAGAATGCCCCGTTATGTCGTAGGAGAGCCATATTGGGACCCGTCAGTAAACTAGTTCTACGGAATGGTGGGTTCGAGAGAGTGGAGAATGACTTTGTTATAATCCATGCTTGTAACTATGTAACCTATATGTAGCAGTGCCAAATATCAAATGTAGAAACGCAATATGGTATTGTTGTTACTGTGCGTAAACATAAACTGAATAAATGGCAGAATAAATACACAATTTTTAAAGTGGAGTCCTAAGAAGAAAATAAGAAACAAATGTGGTCATAGACAATACTAGACGGTCAAGGGCTGTTCCAGAATATGTAGTAAGAAACGATGCATGGGTTATACGCCGGATGTGGCGACCGGTTTTGAAGTGTGGCTGCTCGCCACGTCTGACAGACGACCCATGGTGCTACAAAACACAGATCCTATTTCGTTTCGTTTTTTACAGTTCAAAATTTCATTTTACTTGTCTTCACAACACTAGAATCTGGGAGAGTTTTTATATAAGCCGCGTTCTGGTTATTGTGGTTGTATTAGCCAATTAAACGGTCTGTTACAGCCAGTTCTTGGCATGCGATGTACGGAACTGTGGGTAAATCCCTAGAAACACCAACGCTGATTGATTAATCAATGTCTCACGCTATAGGGTCAAAAGCCGCTCGTATGACGCAACCTCCCACTACAACTAATCAGATCTTCATGTAGTGGAGGTCATCGAAAGTATAAAAAAACGAAACGAAATATAGATCTGTATTTAAATCAGACTGTTCTAGGGTTGGCATGCTACGCATTTAATGCACTATGTTCACATAAAGACAAAGATTGTTCACTTAAATAGAAAGCAATCAAAGACAAGTCTACATAAAATCAGAGAAAATTTCACTAAATTGTACTTAAAAGTCATAAAGAATTTCACTTTAAGTCACAGAAAATTCACTCAAATCGAGAAAAAATAACTTAACGTTACAAAAAATGAACTTAAAGTCATGGAAAAAATTCACTTATAGTCCAAGAAAAATTCACTTAAAATCAAAGAAAATTTCACCTAAAATCACAGAAAATTAAATAAGTTTTACTATTTCAACCGAGTAGGAGTTATAATACACTTTGTTGTCAATATGGAATGAATTATTTTAATAAAACTACCGTTGTTAGTATTTAATTAAAGATATCGAAACATACAAAAAATTAATTATGATTACTTTGCCTAAGGCACAATAAAATGGCACAGTGACATCAATGCAAACCATTATAAACTTAAATGGCAACAACGTCGACGCGAATGGATCGATTTAAGTTTAGTAATTTTGAGATCAAGGTTGTTATTTGATAGTGTATGCACTTGACGAAAAACCGGGATCCCGTGTACACGTTGTCTTGCACGTAAAAGATCCCTTGGCAGAGGAATTCGAAATAAGAGTAGGCCGTAACGCCACTGTCCGTGTAGAATTTAATTCGTAGCACACTGTATGACGTATGCCTGTCTTCATTTGCATAGTCGGGCGTTAAATCCAATTTCATTTCATTTTAGAGGTGCCGTGTATATATTGGCATGCACATAAAAGATCCCTTGAAAGTTGGAATTCGATATAAGAGTAGGCCGTAGTGCCGTTGCCCGGACAAAACTTCCCTGATAGCACACTGTATGGCGTATGCCCGTCTTCATTAGTAGGGTGACCCACCATAAATAAATATCTCCATATATCTCGACAATTTCGCCACAATATTTATATATATGCCAAGCCTCAAATCAGTTTCACACAATTATAGTCACTAAATAAACGATCATGTTGTACTTAATAAGCTATGACCATTAATCATCTATAAATAATAGACTGAAAACTGGTTCCATGTGTCGTCCATAACATCCAGACACTTTTGAGTAAAAGATAGGTTACGTGCCCTTGTTTTGAAACTAGAGTCGCTTAACCAGTCTATCGACCATTCTAAGGCTGATTGACAGGTCGGGATAATCAAGACTACTTTTTTACGAAACATAACAGAAAGCTAGAACAAGAAATTGAATTAAGAAATGAGCACGTTAGCTAGCTCAACAATTGTTTTAATAAGCTTGTAAAAGTAAAATGAAACTACTGCTAGTATCATGTTCCTGTCTAACCCGAGTGTTTCAGAGATAGTATTTGTACTAAACCAAAAGATGCCGCTCTTAACGGTACAGTTAATGATAAAGCGATTTAAAAAATGAAACGAACGTAATTTCTAAATCTGCTGTAATAACCAAGAAGCTTAATTTTACTGCTATTCAAAATCGTCAACAATAAATTTTTTACGGCTGTAATAGTTGATAGATTTGTAGAGAATTGCACGTGCCATGGCTATTTATAGTATCATACTGTCAGAAAGTTGGCCTCGACACGGCGAATGTGCACGCTTCAGTGGTAGTCTCGAACTATCAGCGGTTGACTGTATTTCTGTAGGTGCATGGGCCACCCTATCATTAGCCCAGTCGGAGCAGAACAGTAGGACGTTATACCCCATTTCATTTCATTTCATTTGTATGATCATATACTCTGTATTCCACATAAAATAACTATCAATATCTGATTATACTTCCAGGTATATCTAAAGAACAAATTGTTATGGAACGTTTAAACAAATGGTGGTACCAGGTGTTCCAAAAAGAATAATTAAAATGGTTAAGACAGATGATGTTTGTGATAATGTCAAAGGTGAGGTTTCAAATTGAATGTGCGCATATACGAACAGGAACAAAGCAAGTTATCTTTTGTAGTAGTAATGTTCCACGGCGGTTTAAAGGGTGTTTTTCACATGGCGGCCGTGCTGTTGAATCCATTACAGGGAACATTTTAATGACACGTACTGAAACATGCAACTGGATTTAATACTAGATTACAAACGACAAAATGGAAATGAAATGAATCTTTTCAACCTAAAATATTTAAATATGAAGTGAATTTATTTCGTCAATTTGAAATCAACAATATGCAAATACAACTATATTTGTGTGATTGGACCATTTAACTTCTGACGAATGTGGCAATAAAGTTGCAAATCCTAGCTGATTTACCCCACTAAAATTAGCGTTACTTTTGTGATAGAAAGTGGCAACCCTTAGCCGAATGACTCTATTAGCATTGCTTTAAGTCTTTTGATTCAAAATGGAAGACGAAAAATTAAAGTCAAATACATCACATCATTTATCATGGATGCTCATGAATTCCTTCCAGTTTCCTGATAATTATACATTGGATGATTTTCTAAAAGTTGCTGTGGAATATAAGGACACGGATCACTGGTTTAATGGCGGCGCGGAACTAATTCTCGTGCTATGTTTCTGCATGGTGATTTTGGCGGGATTAACTGGTAACATTATCGTCTGTTTAATTATCTGCAGAAGTGGCGGGTTGAAGTCCACCAGAAACTGGTATTTATTAAATCTGGCCATTTCTGATATTTCTGCGTGCGTGTTTTGTATTCCGTTCATGTTGGTACGACTAACGTTAAAGAACTGGCAACTGGGTTGGTTCATGTGTAAGTTCGTCCCGACTCTACAAACAACGTACGTGTTCGTGTCAACGTTTACAATATTAGCCATAGCTGTGGATAGATACCAAGCCATTGTGTGTTCCAGTGGCCGTGATGTTAAAAAACAGCGAACTAAATACGTCCTACCGGTAATCTGGTTTACGTCAGTGTCATTCGCCTTGCCCTTATTTGTCGCTCACGTGATTGAGGACGCTTATGGAATTTCCGGTTACGTCATGTATTCTATATGTCGCGAGAAGTGGGAATCTAATGGATCTCTGTGGTGTTACACCGTAGCCGTGTTATTAATCCAATATCTATCACCGGTGATCGCCATTGTAGCACTTCATGTAAAAATCTGCAAGTTTCTACACACACGTGTACACGAACGTCAGGTGACGCAGAGGGAGCTGCATAGAGTCAGGCGGAACGTGGCCAGACATAAAAAGAACATGATTTTATTGACCACCATCGCCATTGCGTTCGCAGTAACATGGCTTCCCATGTCACTTGTTAATCTTCTAGCGGACTTTGATTATCGTCTTTTCGCGCGCATGGATTTCCCGCTCATTCATGCCGTCTGTTTACTGATTGCTTTCACGTCTGTTTGTATCAACCCAGTTGTTTACGGATGGTTTAACACGAACATACGGCGTGATTTGGCTAAATGGTGCCGCACCAGCTACACGTGTGGCAAGGGATTCCGTAATCTCGGCATAAACGAAGAACATTCACCCCGATGTCGAACTCGAGATTTTGATTCCACTACGATCGGTATGTCGACAATGAACACGAACCATCTGACGATAACTCTGGAGAAGAGAGGTGATAAGTTTGTGATAACCGACGGATTGTCAAATAATTAAAATAACAAAAAACAAAAGAGGTGGATAATTTGTGATAACCGATGGATGTGCAATAGCCCAATAATGACGTGTGTGACCGGATTCCCCTGTCGGGAAACAAATCCTCGACCCCAGTCATCGACTCCATGAACTTCTACCGAGTGGGCAAAAGGGAATATCCCACAGGACAGAACAGCATTGGTACACAACAAGACAGAACACTGGGCGCAGAGACACAACAGAGCAGAACAAGCTAGGCGTCGTGACACCATAGGGCAGAGCAATCTAGGCGTCGTGACACCACAGGGTAGAACAAGCTAGGCGTCGTGACACCATAGGGCAGAGCAATCTAGGCGTCGTGACACCACAGGGCAGAACAATCTAGGCGTCGAGACACAGCAAAACAGAACAATCTAGCCGTCAAGACACCACAGGGTAGAACAATCTAGGCGTCGTGACACCATAGGGCAGAGCAATCTAGGCACCAAGACACGACGGAACAGAACATAAAAATCGAGGCGTCAATATACAACAGGGCAGAACAATCTAGGCGTCGAGACACAGCAAAACAGAACAATCTAGCCGTCAAGACACCACAGGGTAGAACAATCTAGGCGTCGAGACACCACAGGGCAGAAAAATCTAGGCGTCAAGACACCACAGGGCAGAACAATCTAGGCGTCGACACAACAGGACAGAATACTCGAGGCATCGAGACGCAACAGACGAGAAAAATCTAGGCATTGAGACACAACAAGACAGAATAATCTAGGCGTCGAGACACAACAGGCCAGAACAAATCTCGGCGCCACTTCATATTTAAATCGCTGCTTCATATGCTTTGCTTAGTGATTTTGTGTGGACTTTGGTCGCATTTACGTCATCTTTCCCGTCCTTATGTTTGGGTAATGTTTTATATAACACAACTGTAAATACATCCCGCATGGTAACTTTATAAAACCTAGCTGCTATCGTTTACTATCTTATCCAATACTGAAATTTGTCAGCCACGGTACGTGAATGCCCTAGAAAAAGAAAATCGTCGATGAAGTGCCAAAAGGGTGTATCTCGGGAAATTAGTCAAATACACTTTTTTGCATTTTTAAAATCTCCCAATTAATAAGCACATTTTTGTCTAAGCGGTGTATCTCTATGCCAATTAGAACTGTTCTGGGTATCATTTGTCCAAATGTTGTATCTTGATTTGTGGAAATTTTGAAATGCAAAAGGTTCTATTTCTTAATCTTTCGAAATTCTTAGATACACCCTTTTGACACTTCACTGACGAAATGTAGATTGAACATTCCCTTGAAGTTCGTTAGCTAAAAAATTGATATTGATGTAAATTATATATTCAACTGGCAATACTGTGTTAAAATGAACAATGTAATACGAATTTTAATGAAATCTTCGGAGGTTCTTGTATAAAAGTTATTTATTAAAACATGAAAATGTATTGATTGATTTGGGTAAATCGTTGAAACAATTTACACGCTGGCAATAAAGCTAGAGAGTTATAAGAAGCCGGGGGGGGGGGCTAAATGGTTAGCGTGTGCGCGCTGTATCATAAAGTCTGTCATTGAGTCAACTGCTTAAGACCCCTACGTGCAAGCGAATTATTGAAATAAAATTAAACCATATGTTAGTTCCGAAATGACCTAGTTTGTGTCGAGTTGACCGTTAAACCCCATTTTTTTTTCTCTCTCTCTCTCTCTCTCTCTCTCTCTCTCTAAGAAGCCGCAGTGGCTCAGTGCGTGCAAACCGCTGGTTTACTAACAAGGATGTCCAGGGTTCGATCCCGGTGTTGGCCAAGAAAGTTAACTCAAATTTTCAGACGCCTTGCCGCTTGTCAGTGATGCATCACGGAGGGCCTAGTACCAACAGCGGCAGTCGCTCGGGTGTCCCGTGTACACGATAGTGTGCGCGTACAATAACCCCTTGACATTTGGAATTCGATATAAGACAAGGTCGTAGTTCTGCTGCCAAGGCTAAATGTCCCTCATAACACACTTTATGGCGTATGACTGTCTTCATTAGTACAATATAGGAGCAGAACAGTAGGGATGTTCATTAGTACAGTAGGGATGTTTAACCCCATTCCATTTCAACACAAAACCGTGTTTAAAGGGAACTTGGTAATCTAAAATGGCCATGGGTTATTACTGATCGTATTGACTACTCTTGGAAGCAAACTGTTGGGGTATTTATATTGTAAAAGCCTTTAAACTCTGTGGCTAGTCGGTTTTTTTTTATTCTTAAATATATGGTGTGACACTTACCTGTATTCCTGCCGGTTGATGCATTTGGAAAGAAAGAAATACCCAGATATATCCAGGGTCGTTAACCAATATTCAGGTATCCAGGGACATTAACCTATGTTCTGGTATCCAGGGTCGTTAACCAATATTCAGGTATCCAGGGCCATTAACCTATGTTCTGGTATCCAGGGTCGTTAACCAATATTCAGGTATCCAGGGCCATTAACCTATGTTCTGGTATCCAGGGGCGTTAACCAATATTCAGGTATCCAGGGCCATTAACCTATGTTTTGGTATCCAGGGGCGTTAACCAATATTCAGGTATCCAGGGCCATTAACCTTTGTTCTGGTATCCAGGGGCGTTAACCTTAATTCAGGTATCAAGGGCCATTAACCTATGTTCTGGTATCCAGGGACGTTAACCTTAATTCAAGTATCAAGGGTCATTAACCTATATTCTGGTATCCAGGAGCGTTAACCTTAATTCAGGTATCAAGGGCCATTAACCTATATTCTGGTATCCAGGGGCGTTAACCTTAATTCTTGTATCCAGGAGCTTTAACCTTTATTCTTGTATCCAGGGGCTTGTACATTTATTATTGTATCTAGGGGCTTGGACATTTATTCAGGTATGTTAAAGCTAATTTTTTTTTTGTGGGGGGGGGGGGGTGGTATGCTAGAGCTTTCGCCTTTATTTGGGTATGCTGAAGAATGTGGCATATCCGGCCTTTAAGGTGATCTTTATTCGGGGCTGTGATTTTAATTCTGGTTTGTAGGGGCATTGACCTTTATTCTGGTATACGGGGCATTGACCTTTATTTAGGTATGTGGGGGCTTTGACCTTTATTCTCGTAAGAAGAGCCATTGATCCTTATTCTGGTTTGTCAAGGCTGCGACCTTTATTCAGGTTGGATGGTATGGTCTATATGTAAAGGTGGACAAGATGTGTCTGTTTTATATGTATAGGTGGACAAAACGCGGAAGTAATTAATGTAATTCCAGCGCCGCAGAGGACGTGTTGTGATTAACAAATAGCTCGCCATATTAACACTTCCATATCGACTACATAGCGTGACTAATTGACAACTGATTTACCGTCACGAATATATTCGTGTATCGAATCATGTCCGTCGAAAATATATCACGTTACAAGACCTATTTTGTATTAAAGTTAAAGGACACTATTGGTGTCAGTCATTATCACATATCTGATAGAACTGGTGGTTAAACACGTTCCAAATATAACTTTCACACATAGATCATTGCTACGATAGACGCGTAATGAAGGTTTCAACAATCGGAAGTGACGAACGCAAAAAGGAAAACACGAGTTATTCCTGTATATATCTGACTTAAGTGACGAGTGATAACAGATACATGGGCGAATTTCTGCTCACTAATAATTCCTTCGAAGACCAAAAGTTGTTATATAAAAATATAAGAAGATATCTGACAATTCAAAAAAGTAATTGAATGTCATTAGATGAGCGAACACGAGAAAAATAGAAATAGTCCGTACATTCCCTTGTTTATATTCATTCTATACCTTATAAAAACATGGTTTCTATTTCTCTTTCATGTTCCCTTATCTAGTGACATTCAATTACTTTTTACAAATTGTCAAATATCCTCTCACAGTCTCACACAACAACTGTTGGTCTTCGAAGGAATTATTAGTGAGCAGAAATTCGTTAGCTCGCCAGGGTCTTTACTCACTGAGACTGAGACGGTGTGGGGGAAGGGGGGGGGGCGAATGGTTAGCACGTGTGCGCTGTATCATAAGGTCCGTCATTAAGTCAACTGGCGTGGTTTCGATTCCCCAGTTGTACGTGACAAGGAGTAGAGTCGCCTGTCCAACCTCGTGGATTTTCTCCGGGTCCTCCGGTTTCGCCCTCCTGCTAAAGACCCCTACGCGCAAGCGAATTATTGAAATAAAATTGACCATGTGTTAGATCCAAAATAACCTAGTTTGTGTCGAGTGGACGTTAAACCCATCTCTTACTCTCTCTCTCTCTCCCTCTCTCTCGCTCCCCCTCTCTCTCTCTCTCGCTCTCTCTCTCCCTCTCCCCGCTCTCCCTCCCTCTCCCCGCTCTCCCTCCCTCCCTCCCTATGTTTCTCTCTCCCTCTCCCCGCTCTCTCTCCCTCTCCCCGCTCCCGCTCCCTCCCTCTCTCTCTCCCTCCCTCCCTCTCTCTGTCTCTCTCTGTCTCCCTCTCCCCGCTCTCCCTCCCTCTCTCTCTCTCCCTCCCTCTCTCTCTCTCTCTCTACTCACTGAGACACGGCGGTTCCATGTTTATTGCTCACGCTACATCATTAACAGCTAAGTGTATTAAAAGAAACCTAATTCCCATTCTCGCTGTTTATATTTCATTCATTTTACACGTTCACACATGTTGACCTCAGAACAAGTTCAATAATCACAAACCATTGAAGAGAGTGGAAATAACCGGAGTGTTTGTGATGTGATCAAAATAATGGCTTTGTTTCCAATCACACGACTACCATGTCGGTCGATAGATTCCCATACAAGATTCCTTTCAAATATTTCATCACCTCGTCCCTGTAGACAGCACAGACAATATGGCTTCAGTTGCCATATTAAATTTTGGCGTGATTGAGATACAGTGACAGAAAACATCCTGTTGGGATCCTTCCCCATTCATAAGTGACAGACAGTAAATCAAGTGCGACACGAAATAGAGCACAGCGTATAAACAAATTAAGTAAGACTAGTTCACCTCGAGGCAGAAGTCTAATCGTTGAAAACAAGGCTTAAATCATGATCACGAAACAAGTGATTTTCTTTTGTTTCCAATCTTTATCTTCATACTAGGGCTTACACGCCGACATGCAAATATTACACGATACGTTTATGAACAGAAAGGAAAGTGGTTGACCGACATTTTAATTCCTATATCGATAGTAATAGTTGCTCCCTGCATTGGCCGAGAAAGTTAATTCAGATTTTCCGGCGTGGTTCCCCCTTGTCAGTGATGCAGGACGGAGGGTCTGACA